TTTCTTTTCTGCCTCAATTTTCTCCCTTCCATTTCAGGACTCAAAAGCCCTCTTGAAACACCAGAAAAAGGCATTCAAAGTCCCCGTTTCCCCTTCCTTTTAGCATCTGTCCATAGACCTGGGGACCTGACACTTTGTGCCCACAGCTGAAGTTACGTTGCCTACAATTCCTCTTCCAGCATTTTCACCAGAACTCCCTGTAATCAGGTTTTCCGCCCCTCCACTCTAAAGAAACGGCTCTTTTCAAAGTCACCAGTGACTTCTGCATTGACAAATCCATTGCTTAATTCTCTGTCTACAGCTGCAGTAGACCTGTGAGCAGCAAGTCATACAACTGGTCCAACCCTTCTCTTTGAGGCACTTTCTCCATTTGGACCCAGCTCTCTTGTTCCCTCACTGACCATTTCTCCTCTGTCTCCTTTATTTTCTTTTTTTATCCTCACCTGAGAACATTTTTCTATTTTTTGTACAGATATAGAGTGGGAGGGAGAGAGAAACATCGACGTGAAAGGGACACATCGAGTGGCCGCCAAGCGCACGACCAACCAGGGCTGGGGACAAACTGCAACTGAGGTACGCGCCCTTAGCGGGAACCGAACCCGGGTCTCTCTGGACCGCAGGCCGATGCTCTAACTGCTGAGCCAAACCGGCCAGGGCTGTCTCCTTTATTTTCCACCTGAGTCTCCAAATGCTTTTCTCTTTTCTATCTGCATTTACTTTTTAGGCGATCTCACTCAGACCCAGGCCTTTAAGTACTATTATACACAGATAATAATCAAATTTACATCTGTAGCCTGGACCTCTGCTCTAAAGGCCAGGATTGTATATTGAATTGGCTATTAGGCATCTCTACCCAGAAACCTAGCAGGTTTCTTAAACTTACATGTCTAGAACTATACTCTCTTCCTCCCCGCAATATGCTCTTCCTGAGTTGTTCCCCAGCAGAAAAAAAATCAACTCCATTCTTCTAGTTGCTCAGGCCAAGTATCAAAATGTCATCTCTGATTCACATTTTGTCATCCAACCTGTTAAAAATCATGTTGGTGCTACCTTCAAAATACAGTAAACGCTCTGACTTAATGTCATCAATAGGTGCTACATTACATGATCCACACTCATCTACCCTGACCTCACCCCTCACCTCCTACAACCCTTGCCTGCTCATTCCATTCAGTGATGCTGGAGGACAAAGACTGTTTTCAGGTCTGCTATAACAGTCTAACTCCAATTTCCCCTTGGCTTGCCCCTTCGTTTATTTGATTCTTTGCTTAAATTTAAATATTACTTGATCAGAGAGGCCACCTCTCTCTCCAACATTCTTTTTCCCTTTTCCTACTTTATATTTCTTAGCACCTGTCACCACATGAAATATTTATGTCTCTCTCTGACAAGAATGTAGAGAAAATGAGAGAAGGGGTTATGCTGGTTCAATGCTGTATCCTCAGTATTTAGGCCCATGCCCTGATTTAGCAGTGGGGTGCTTAAATATTTGAATGAATGAATAAATGACCTAGTGAGAGAGAGTGGAGTTCAGACCGATTCCTTTCTTTTTTTTTCCCCCCAGAATAAGAGTTTATTAAATTTATATTAAATGTAAACAGTTATATATCTAACGATTCCTTTCTTTTCTTACTTTGGGGCAGCGAATAATCTACATGAAGAGATTACACTGTTGACAACACAGTGTTAATTTCAAAGCAGAAACAAAAAGCGTGGAAGACTATGGTTCCTTCTCAGGGATGGCATAAATCACCTACAACATTAAAAAAATACACAGACAGGCCCAAGCCTAACCCTCGAAGAATCTGATTTAGGAAATGAAGATGGGGTCAGGGCATTTTTAAAAGTTCCCCAAGTGATTCTAATGTCCAATCCCTGCTAAAACCACTTATTCAAAAGAAGTATCTCAAAAGGCATGTGGTAAACTATGCAGTAAATAAAATAACACACATTTGTTTGTTTTTTTTAACCCACATACCTGACTGGGGACTCAAAAATATAGTTTCTTTTTGTTTCTTTTTGTCTTCATGTAAAAGCACTGCCTAAAAAATGAAATACACTGGTTTACAAAATCGAAAGGAATAGCATCTGAAACAGCTTTAAAACTGTAACCATATCCAAGAAGAGCTGAAATTAGGCATGTGGGTGGTAGAGCTTTGCAAGTTAATTTTACAGCAAGACACGTATGCAGGGATCCTTAAAGCACACCTTGCCACCCTGGGCACAGCAAGCCTCCTCACCACACTGCTGAGGGCAAAGTGAGGTAGCCAGGGGGGTTAGCAGGAAGGAAGGAGTCAGGGCCTGGGCCTGCCCGGCACCTCTTGGACCCGGCACAGAGCTGCTAGCACCCAGTAAATGTTTGCTGAATAACAGACAGATGGCGGAAGGCCTTCTTGCTCAAGTCTGAGCTAATTTTACCTGAACAAATGTGTCAGTTGATCTCAAAGGACTAGATGAAGAAGGGGATCCATATACACAACCTGATTTAAACATACCTGAGAAAGAAATCAGCACTTTTTGTTCCTACTATAAATGGAAAGCAGTCACCTGTTTATAAAGTTTCACAGGAGGATTTTTCTGTTGATACGACAGAAGCTCCACTCAGTGTATCATGTGGACAAAATACTAATTTGAAGAAACAAGAGGGAGCAGCATAGCTTTTAGATAGGAAGGAAGAAGCAGCTAATTATTTTTCATTGCTATTGGAGGAAATTCGCCACAGTCCAGCCCCATTCCTACCTTCTTTTACTTTTATAACATGACAACTACTTGATTTCATGTGGACATATGGCATTCTGAAGTAACCAAGATTCTAATGCTTTTCCTTTGGTTGGATAATGCCCACTTCTTCCCCAAGATATCCCGTCTCCCTCTGATCTGTGGCTGCCCTAGCCTGCCAGAATCACTGCTCTATTTTGAGAGCTTCACTAGTAGACAACTTAAAACTTGCTACTAGCTAGAAGGAAGAAATCCATCATGCTGGGGACTGCAGAGGCATTGCTTCACCACTTGTACCAAAAAGGAACACAATGACATTGTGCTGCAAACTATTGTTAACACCGACCTTGAGTTCCTCTGAAGGGTAGCCTACAAAACTAACTTTGGCAAAACTTCATTACATCTTATCTATACTGTTTATAGTTTCCTCATCTGTAAAATGGGGATATCAGTAATACCACATTTGATGGGGCTGTGGTGACAGATGAAATTATCCATGTAAAGTTGTTAAAATAGTGCCTGACCTATATTAAGCACTTAATGAATGTTAGCTATAGCCATTATTTTAATTTCTCTTAAAAATATTTACCTCATATAGTCATAAAAGAAAATCATTTTATTCTGGCATCTGTCCCACATCAGAGCAAAAGAGCTTAAATTTGAATTTGTAGAAGTAGGGCAAGCTGTATCTTTTTTTTTTTTATCCTCACCCGAGGACATTTTTCCATTTTTTGCACAGATAGAGTGGGAGGGAGAGAGAGGAAGAGAGAGAGAGACATCGACGTGAAAGAGACACATCGAATGGCTGCCACCCGCACGACCAACCAGGGCCGGGGACAAACTGCAACCGAGGTACATGCCCTTAGCAGGAACTGAACCCGGGTCTCTCAGGACCGCAGGCCAACGCTCTAACCGCTGAGCCAAACCGGCCAGGGCAAGCTGTATCTTTTATAAACATCAAAGTCCTATTTTAAAATCAATAATTAAAAAACATACTTCTTTGAATATAAAGCTTGTTGAAAAAATAAAAGTACAGGTGATCTAAACATTCCTGCCTTAAAAAGAAAGATACCATATTGCAGATGTAATAAAATGGGGAAGGGGTATTAGTGTTCTAGGAACATTAACACTGGAGTGAGCATTTTAGGGAAATTGCCAGCAGTGTTGACTTTTTGTATGCTGTCCACAAACATACAATTGAGGACAGAAATAGGGTTACTATTTTAAGAAAACATTTATGTCTCAGATTTTCTAAGCTAATTATACCTCCACATTCACAGGTTTGTTCTGAGGAAGTGAGAGTATATAAATTGTTTGTAAATCATAACTTACTATACATATACAAGGTACCCTTACTCTTAAGTCTGTAAAAAGGTACCTTCAATGGATATTTGACCCATTTAATACTGATCCGACAACTTAAAGGAGCGAGATATGGATTACGTTGAACTACTGATTGATAATATATTTTTTCCTCCTCATAGTAATCATGCTTACTGCAGAAAAATATTTAAATGATAAAATCCTGCATACTTCTCCTCTGCAGTTAGAACAACTGTTAACTGTAAAACCCATTCCTCCTAGTCCCTTTTCTGTGCATGCGCATGAATGTACTTAAATAGAAATACAAGAGGTTCACTGTACACAGTGTGGCCTCCTGAGATAATTTCATGCCTCCTCTGTAGCTGGGCAGTGCTTTGATTTCAAAAGTGCATATGTTGAGTAGCAAAGCTTGTTATAACTTATTTTATGGTCACTTAGGCTATAGTTTTTAGGTACTAGAAATGACCAGGTTTTCATTTCCTTAATTATCTTACTAACGAGTCAACCAAATGACTTTCATAAGCCTCTAAATCAGTGGTTCTCAACCTTCCTAATGCCGAGACCCTTTAATACAGTTCCTCATGTTGTATGTGGGCGTATCTGCATGTGGGCGGACCGCCTGGAGATGGATAGAGGAGCGGTATCTCAGTTCCTAAGACCATCAGAAATATGTGTTTTCCAGTGGTATTAGGTGACCCCTGTGAAAGGGTCGTTCAACCCCCAAAGGGGTCACAACCCACAGGTTGAGAACTGCTATTCTAAATAAAACCAGGAATAAGTTTTTAAGACATAAAAGATCAGAATTAAGGGCAAGGGAGCATTTCGCTTTCTTAGAAACACAATCTTTTGAGTCATTAGATTTGTTACAGAAATAAATATAACTAAAACAGTAACAATTTCTAAAAAAGAGATTTCCCTTGAGGTGTGATTGGGAAAATCAGTGTGACTGTTATCCATACCTGGAGAGCCTTTAAACTGTGGGCATTCCTTTTTAATGTGCCCTTCTCGTCCACAAATAAAACAACGTTTTTCTCGCAAGTCTTTGTCATCCTGTCTCTTCCATTTTTCCATTGGTGGCCTGAGCATTTTCTCTCTCCCCAGATCAACAGCTGCCTTCACTGGCTTCCCTTTCTGAGGTGTGCACGGCATGGGCTTATCCTCTTTGGCTGACACCTCTCTCTCTGTGTACTTGTTTTGAACTTCTTTGTCCTCTTTGCTTCTTTTCTCTTTGTTCTCAGGGTATCTTTGGTTTAGGGTATCCTCCTGATCTCGCCGTCGCCTCACTCTGTAGAAGATATAATACTGGTAGAAAAAATCTAAACAGAAACCTAACAGAAGAAGATAACTCCAGATTTAGGAAATAACAAGAAATAGAAGGTATCACAGGGCAAAACATGACTTTAACAAACTTAAGTGTATCTTTTCTATTAAGAAGCAATCTCAGCGCTGGCTGGTTTGGCCCATTTTACTAGGGACTGGAAATCTGAGGTGTGAAACTTTAAATACATTCATGCACATACCTAGAAAAGGGACCAGAAGGAAAAAGGTTCACAAGGGAGCGATGGTTATAAGGAGATTTAAGGTTCTTAAAATATTAAAATCATTTCTTCCTTGTCCAACATGATCAGTGAATATTAGCTGTTACTTGAATAAAAAACAAAAATGTACTAAATAAGAGCCTCACATTCCAAATGATGACCTGTTTTTAAATGAGCATATTATTGTCCAGTTAAAAACACTAATACCGCCCTGGCCGGTTTGCTCAGTGGTTAGAGCGTCAGTCTGTGGACCAAAGAGTTGCAGGTTCAGTTCTGGCTAAGGGCATGTACCTCAGTTGTGGTTCATCCCTGGCCCTGGTTGGAGTCATGCAAAAGGCAACCAGTCGATGTGTCCCTTTCACCTCGATGTTTCTCACTCTCTCTCTGTCTCCCCTTCCCACTCTTTCTGAAGATATTTGAGAGAATATCCTTGGGTGAGGATTAACAAAACAAAAAAACCACCACTATCACCCTGAACAATAATATGTTCCAAGCAAGCAACCAAAACCATGTTCCCTTGCTCTCCTGCAAACACAATGCAGAAAAAGGCACGGTGACCAAACTGAGTAGGTCACTATAGCAATATTAAGGGTTAAACTGTGTACAAGTGAACTGTTCTGCAGTTCGGTAAACTGTCAGTGAGTCCAAATCCCAACCTGGTACACCTCAGTTATTGTACATTAGTAGTGTAACTGACATCCTGAAGGAACCACTTTTACTTTCATTGAAATGATTCCGAACTTCTCTCACTGACGTAAAAGGGAAGAATTTGTTTCGTCTTTTCACTTCCAACCAGGCTGAAGAGGCTATGACCAAATGACTGAGAAATGATTAGGGCCATGAGCAATATTAGGAAGAGGGACCAGGCCCAGAAGACTGTCATCTGTACACTGAAGTCAGTCCTCGTCATCTGCACTTAAGGCCATATTTTAAATCACTTTATTTTCATTATAAAAAATCCTAAATTTATCTGAGAATAGCTGAATTTCCTACAGGTTTATTTTCTGTTACAATAGAATCATTTAAAAACTGGTATATTAAGAACATAATAAAACCACACCTTTTGAACATTCACTTACTTTTTCCTCAAAGGACAGTCCTTCATGAAGTGTCCAATTTTCCCACAAATTCGGCAACATCTATCATTTGGGGCCAACTCTCCTTCAGTTAGCACATCTGGATCAAAAAAGTACTCCTAGAATAATGTAATATATACAAATATGAACTATTAACATGAGATCAAAACACAAAAACTAACCCAACCAGCAATCAGGAATCTTCTATCTCGACACTGATGTTATCATTATTTTAACAAATATTATTTACACTGTTTAGTTTCAAAATCTAAAACCACTGTGAGGTCTAAATCAGGATAGTTTTAGCTAAACTCCAATTTTATGTATTCCTTCCTTTTCATCATGCAGAACTCTGTTTATCCTTAACCATAAAGGCAGCTTCCTCCAGCACTTCTAAATAAGAGCATCATACAACCCCAAAGTCAGCTGCCTCAGGACTTGGAAGGAGCTGAGTCCAGGTACAAAGGCTTTACTGTTTTCAATAAATGAAAAGGCTAAAACCTAATGAATTGAGGAACATGATTTGTGTTATACATTCCAGAGAAAAAGAAAGAGGCTATGTGCAGCTTTGCTTTGTTGTGGCTTCTTAAGAAAAGTATCAGAAGAAAGGAAAGACAATGGTCTGGACTTGAGCCTCTCTGCTCCCTCTTTAAGGTGGGGGATCAGCAGCAGCAGAATCACCTAGGAGCTTGGAAGAAATATCAAGTCCTCCTGAATCAGAATCTGCACTTAACAAAGTCCCCAGATGATAAGTCTGAACAATTTTCGGAAGCACTAAAGGACTGCCACAGCAATATCTAGCAACAACTAGAAGTGTATGTACAGTCATCCCTCACCACTTCACGCTTCGACTTTCATGGCTTCACTCTATATTGCGGTTTTTAAAAATACTATACTATATTTGAAAAAAACCACGATAGAGTGAAGAATCCTACTTTGCGGAAATTCATTCATTGCCGTACGAGTCTGGAACTGATTAACTGCGATAAATGAGGGCCGACTGTAGATATAATCAAATGCTGAATAGTTCAGGTTCATTAAAAGTGTGGATTCAGACAATTGAAGCAGAAAAAAAAATAACTTTATTCTAAACACAAAACCCTCTAGCTCTGTCCTAGCTGGTGTGGCTCAGTGGCTGGAGGATCATCCTGTGCACCAAAGGGTTGCCAGCTTGATCCCCAGACAGGAAGCAACCAATACTTCTCTCATACATCGAAGTTTCTCCCTTTTACTCCCTTCCCCTCCTCTCTCTCTTCCTTCTTCTCTCTCTAAAATCAGTAAAACATATCCTCATGTGAGGATAAAACAAACAAAAAAAACCCCTCTAGCTCCTAACCCTGTTTTTTCTCACTGAAATACATGTTATGTTCATAACGTGATTTTGTTTTGTTTTCGGTGAGTACAGCTCAATAGAAACCTGAGTATTAGGTTATATGAGAACAGATAGTCCTCTAGCACAGGCAGCACTGTCCTATTAAAGGGTTTATTACTCTTTGCAAGTATAGTAATAAAAAAATAAAATGAAAACCTAGACTTGATATGAGAGTGGAGAATATCCTTAGGTATGTGTGAACTGGGCTTGGCAGAGGCTGGCATGGAGCTCAATGCTGGTTGGCACAGTAATGCCACCTATATGTGTTACCAAAAAAAAAGCAGCAGCACCAGAATTACTAATTTTTCCCTCCCAAACTCTACTTCTGGCTATTTCTCCCTGTTCTCCTGATGAATTGCTTCAAAACAGGAATGTTTTAAAAAGGATATGATTGTTTATCTTGGCTAGACTTACCAGATTTTCAGAGTATTTAAGTTATTACTGAAGTAATGTGTACAAATTAAGTGCTTAATGAGGGCCTTTAGAATTGTTTTTTTGACATTTCCAATAAACACTTACCATTTTTGAGGGGTAGTCCTTTGGAAATCCTTTGACTGGAATACCAAATACTCTTCTACCATTGATAAATGCTTTCATGATAAAATTGGTCACTGAAAAGAAAAGAATAAGGGCTAAATTGAATGAATTAAATAAAAGGAGATCACGCCCTGGCCGGTTTGGTTCAGCGGTTAGAGTGTCGGCCTGCGGTCCTGAGAGACCCGGGTTCGGTTCCCGCTAAGGGCGCGTACCTCGGTTGCAGTTTGTCCCCGGCCCTGGTCGGTTGTGCGGGTGGCAGCCACTCGATGTGTTCCTTTCACATCGATGTTTCTCTCTCTCTCTGTTCCTCTCTCTCCCTCCCACTCTACCTGAACAAAAAATGGAAAAATGTCCTCGGGTGAGGATAAAAAACAAAAAAACAAAAGGAGATCACGTTAATATTTACAAACAAAGTTAACTTACTTTTCCTTGACAATCCAGCTCCAAGATTATGATTCAAATCAAAAGGATCTAAGTAAAAAAAAAAGAAAATAAGAAAATCAAACAAAAAGTGCCACTATTTATACAGTAAGTGGTCTACAGAACAAGAAAGTGTTACACAATTAATCATTAAAAGTATTAAGTAACCACCTTTTTAATGAGTTTTAAATCTGTTATACAGCTAAGAAATATATATTCCGAAATATAAGGCAAGTTTACACTCATGACAATTCATAATTGAAACATTATGTGTAGATATTTAATTATTTCTTATAAATGCTTAAAAACACATGAAGAAAAGCAAAAAAACCCCCAAAATCTTTGGGGGCAGCATATTGAAAAAAGGGAGAATTTCACATATTAGTATATACAAAAGGAGTACAGAAGCAAAAAGAGGTACCCTTCAGTTGTCTGTTATGCTTCTATAGTATGATAGCCGGGTGTCTCAGGTAGGGATTTATACTCACCGAGAGTACTGAGGCAAAGGACCTGTCCCTCAGCTTAACCTTACACTAATAATTGCTATGATAAGGTTCCTTCTTAATAGGTTTGGTCATGCTTTCTTCTAGTAATCTTGGTTGTTCACTTGGGGTAGTTGAGATACTATAACCTTAGCTACTATACAGTTACAAACAGTACCACCACCGCTGAAATTTCTCAATTCTAGAATAGATAGTTAAAGGTTCTATGTTTTAGACACAAGAGATCCTGAAAAGTTAAAACCGTATCTGTAACTCATTGTGATTTGAATTTCATTTTACATATGTTCACATACCATCAATAGGTAGAAGTAATGATGAAAGAAATAACCTAGAGCAGCGATTTTGTACCTGTGTGCTGCTGCAAGAATTTTTAAAACATGCAATAGTTGACAATTTAGTCAGGGGCACTGACCTATTTTCCCTTAGACTGTCAAATAAAAATATGACAACAGCTAATACAACAGCCGTTCAGTGTAAATGAATCAAAAATATACTTTTGTTGTTGTTGTTAAGCCTTACCGGAGGATATTTTTTCCATTGATTTTTAGAGAGTAGAAGGGACGGAGGGGTTTGAGAGGGGGAGAAGGGGAAAGAAAGAGAGAGAAACATCGATGTGAGAGAGACATGTCAATTAGTTGCCTCCTGCACATGTCCGGACTGGGGCCAGAGATCAGACCTGCAATTCAGGTACATACCTGTGACCCTCTGGTGTGTGGGCTGACACTAATCACTGAGTACACTGGCCAGGGCAAAATTTTGGTCATATCAACAAAAATATATGTATTTTGGTATGCTACATAATTTCAGTAATTAGTTTATGTGTGCCATGAGATGAAAAACGTTGAAAATCACTGACCTAGAGGTAACACATTTAGGTGATATAACTACATTAAAAAACAAAAGAATAAAAAAGTATGATTAAAATCAATATAATATTTCTTAAGTCATTTCTCAGTTCATTATAAGCACTTAAACTTCATTTGGTCTTTTTAAAATGAAAAATCAACAGTCAATTATAAACATCACTAAGTCCATGGATCTGTGCATTCAATGCTAAGAAAAGGGTTCAACACGGTCAAACTAAATGTCAAAATTTATATATAATTACAGATAGGTAAAAACCCTCCATTAGTAGCAAATAAAGTTCTTGAAAATTTACTCGTATTAGGAAGGTTTTAAAAGTCCCACTGATGCCCTGGCCAGTTTGGCTCAGCGGTTAGACCATCAGCCTGCGGTCCAGAGAGACCCGGGTTCGGTTCCCGCTAAGGGCAGGTACTTCGGTTGCAGTTTGTCCCCGGCCCTGGTTGGTCGTGCGGGTGGCAGCCACTCGATGTGTCCCTTCACATCAATGTTTCTCTCTCTCTCTCCCTTCCTCTCTCTCCCTCCCACTCTATCTGTACAAAAAATGGAAAAATATCCTCGGGTGAGGATAAAAAAAATAAAATAAAAAAATAAATAAATAAATAAATAAAAGTCCCACTGATCTCGAAGCTGGCTTATCTCTACTGACCTTCCTTATTCTCTAGTAAGTATTCAATAATAGTAAAAGATCTGTCTTGGTGATCAAAGACTTATTGTGAGAGGCCCCACATGAGGACATCAGTCATTTAAAAATAAATCTTTAGGCGGGAAACAAATGGCTCCACCTGCCGCAGGCAATGAGGGGCCGGCTGCACATCCCAACCAGTGGCTCATGGCTGCCCAGGAAGAGCTCTGGAGGGATGAAGAACAATGCCCTCCTAATTCAAACTCTATTTCTATTCAATCTGAAGTTTTGATTTCAATACCTTCAATAACAATATATTTTGAGGTCCACTGTTTCTTAAAAGTTGTAAGCAGACTTTTTCTTCTGATGCTAATAACATGTTCTTTAAAATCAAACTCCTCTGTGTAGAAACGAAGAAGTCCCAACCAGAGTTGTCCAACAGATTCTGTATTTTTTCCATATTCTGGCCAAAAGCTAGGCTAGAAATAGAAGAAAACAAGGGGTGACATGATATATAGTAAAGTGTTAATATCAATATTCACTTCTATCTTATGATGTAAATATGGACTTATTTCTAATTAACTAGAGTTTAAATATACAAAATATATAATTCTAAAACTTTTCTTTCACATTTTAAAATACCACTTACATGAGTTTATTAATCTCTACCCTATGACTTGGAGAGCTCAGGGTTTTAAATATCAAACCTCAGAATACATGTTAATGGAAGAATCTTGAAATAAATGTTAAGAGTCTTGGTGATAATTAAAAGTCTTTCCAAACTCTCTGTACAAAATCACAGAGCAAATATTCGTTCATTTGGAAAAAGTTACCAAACCATCTGAAATTATCAACCATGAAAGAAATCCTGGATATAGTCTATGAACACTCATCTAAACATTAATAAAAAGGTTTTCAACTTCTAAGGAAACATCTACATGCTAGTTTTGTTTTTTTTTACTATCATAAAAATAAATATATATGAATATAACAAATAATCATATAGTTGTTGAACACCTATCTACACTACAGCATAGTATAGCTAACTTTTAGTCAAGGATGTTAAAAAAAAAATCTTTACTATTAAAATACGTACCAGTTCATCTATTTGATCAAAAAAATAAATATTCCAGCCATCAACAAATATTTCAGGTTTCTTTTCACCTTTGTATATCTGCAATTAATTTTTACACTATTAGTATGGATTATAAACTTAATGCACTGATACAAAAACTTATAGAAAAATTATTGAAAATGTAACCACAGAACCACAGAATTTCTGAGAAGGAAGAGGGCTCAAAGATCACCCCCCTTTACAGATAAGAAATGTAATTGTGTTTTTAGTAATACCTCTTGAAGGACAGGAATGACTGGAGGAGTCCTCTGCTGGAGAAAATATAGCACCATAAGTGTGTATGCATATGACGATAAGCTGCCTCTGGACGCATCGCCAATATCACACATCTAAGGGAAGAAAGAGGAGGAACACAAAGGAAAGTTTCTGCTTACAGCTATTCTACTATCACTAAAAGTGCTTCTGTAGGGCACTAATATATAAATTACATTTTCAAATGCTAAAATATACAAACAAAACCAAATAAGGAAAAAAAAAACCCAAATGAAACAAAACAAAGAACCCAACAAAGCAGTAGAACAATCAGTCACAAGCAAGATCATATAATCATGTAAAATTTAAGAAAAAATTTGAGCTTGTTGGGCAGGGCTTCCCAAATAGTTAAAAGAAACTTTTGACATGCTTATGGTTCTCTAAAAAAAGACATGTTTTCAACAAGGTCTGAAGGTATAATAAAATTCCCGGTAAGTCACAACTGGAAGCATACTTGCCTTTGTAAACACTTTCATGGTATAGCATAAATATTTCACTCTGGGATCAATGGCTGAATAAGCAGATAAGAGCCTTGTGTTATGAAGAGCCTGTTAAAAAGGAAATTACACTATAAGGCTATCATTTAGAAGAAAAAGTTTTAAGCTAGATATTCTGAAAAGGTTTATATCATAATTCATTTTATTTATTTATTTTTTTTATCCTCATCTGAGGACATTTTTTCATTTTTTGTTCAGATAGAGTGGGAGGGAGAGGGAGAGAGGGGGAGAGAGAGAGAGAGAGAGAGAGAGAGAGAGAGAGAGAAACATCGACGTGAAAGGGACACATCGAGTGGCTGCCACCCGCACGACCCAACCAGAGCCGGGGACAAACTGCAACTGAGATATGTGCCCTTAGTGGGAACCGAATCCGGGTCTCTCTGGACCGCAGGCCGACGCTCTAACCGCTGAGCCAAACTGGCCAGGGCCCATAATTCATTTTAGAATAAACACATTTAGACTAAAACAAGTATTTCTTCTCCCAAGATAAGTTTTTTTTTTAATTTTTAATTTATTTTTTTGTTACAGATATTTCACCTTTTTTACCCCATTGGCACCCCCCACCCCACCCCACCCCCGCCTTAGTTGTCCATGTCCATTGGTCATGCATACATGCATATAAGTTCTGTGGTTTATCTCTTCCCTCCCTCCCCCCCACCCCCTCTTCTGAGGGATGTCAGTCTGTGCCCTACTTCCATGTTTCTGGGTCTACCGTATTCCTCAGACTGTTATGTTCATTATATTCCGTATATAAGTGAGATCATGTGGTATTTGTCTTTTTCTGCTTGACTTATTTCACTTAGGATAATACTTTCCAGGTCCCTCCATGTCGTCTCAAAAGATAAGAGATCTTTCTTTCTTACTGCTGCATAGTACTCCATTGTGTATATGTACCACTGCTTTTTTATCCATTCGTCTATTGGTGGACACTTGGGCTGTTTCCAGATCTTAGCTATTGTAAATAATGCTGCTATGAACATGGGGGTACATATATTCTTCCTGATTGGTGTTTCAGGCTTCTTAGGGTATATTCCCAGCAGTGGGATCACTGGGTCAAATGGCAGTTCAATTTTTAATTTTTTGAGGTAGCACCATATTGTTTTCCATAGTGGCTGCATCAGTCTGCATTCCCACCAGCAGTGTATTAGAGTCCCCTTTTCTCCACACCCTCGCCAACACTTGTTGTTTGATGATTTGTTGATGGCGGCCATTCTGACAGGTGTGAGGTGATACCTCATTGTTGTTTTAATTTGCATCTCTCTGATGATTAGTGATGTTGAGCATTTCTTCATATGTCTCTTGGCCATTTGTATGTCCTGTTTGGAGAGGTGTCTATTCAGCTCCTCTGCCCATATTTTAATTGGGTTCTTTGTCTTCCTTTTGTTGAGTTGTATGAGCACTCTATATATATTGGAAATTAACCCCTTATCTGATACATCATTGGCAATGATGTTTTCCCATACAGTGGGTTGCCTTTGCATTTTGATGATTGTTTCTTTTGCTGTGCAGAAGCTTTTTAATTTGATGTAGTCCCATGTGTTCATTTTTTCCTTTGTTTCTGTTGCCTTAGGTGATGTATCAGTGAAAATTCTGCTCCGTATGATGCCAAGATAAGTTTCAATAACTTATGGGATAATAATTAAGATTGTAAGTGACATCTGATTTCATGATTTCCATTACCTTACTATGTACTTAGTCTGAACATTCCTAAAAAAATTAGGGATATTAAAATAATCCGTGTCCTAAAAAAAAAAAAGAGTAAAAGCCCTGGCCGGTTTGGCTCAGCGGTTAGAGCGTCGGCCTGCGGTCCTGAGAGACCCGGGTTCGGTTCCCGCTAAGGGCATGTACCTCGGTTGCAGTTTGTCCCCGGCCCTGGTCGGTTGTGCGGGTGGCAGCCACTCGATGTGTTTCTTTCACATCGATGTTTCTCTCTCTCTCTCTGTTCCTCTCTCTCCCTCCCACTCTACCTGAACAAAAAATGGAAAAATGTCCTCGGGTGAGGATAAAAAAAAATAATAATAATAATCCGTGTCCTGTAAGTAGATGGATGAATTCCCCAAACTACCCTGGTATTATTTAAATCAAATGCCCTTAGGGACCAGAAAGGTCCCATAAAGCCCTAAAGCAAACCAGGTATGAGACCAAAGATAACACATACTCCAAAATTAAAACAAAGTTCAAGCCAAACAAAAGTGACTGCCACTCTGACCTCACTTTAAGTGAATGCTAATATTAAGTTAATTCTTCATTATGTCCCCATCCTCAGATCACTGCCAGGCACACAGCAAGCACTCATAAATTACTGAAAGAATGCATAAAGTGAAATGAATGGCTTAAGAGATATTTGTTTCCCCTTATCTCCCTGAAGAAAGAGCCTAGAAGATATATCTTACCAATGTGTTATACAAACTGATGTCCACTTCCAGACCACTTCTCAAATGGAAGAACTTTACAATGGGCACCTTTGCTGTTGTAATAGGCAAGATGTTTCTCAGCCCTAGGTTGAAATAAGAGAGTATCATTAAATATAGCTGGGCAAAGAAGCTCTTATGTGAACATTCCAAAATAAAATGGATGTAAACCTGACTCTGGCTTGTTTCACTGTAGTCAGTAGAACCAGTTCAAGAATTCTCAGTTATTAACAAATACCTGGGAAGACTCCTTTGGAAAAATTTACATTCATTAAACACACCCATATGTAAGTATGAGAATCAAGAAGGCAGCCACTGCTTTCTAAGAACTCACTGGGTCATGTGTGTGTGTGTGTAGGGGTGTCAGTTTGATAAACACCAAAACAGAAGAATCTACTAGAGTCTGGACTATGTGGGCCTCAACTATTCTTTCATATGACTGTATCTGACATGGAGAAAGTCTATGGGACAATCATCTGAACCCTTAAAGCAAAAGTCACTTGTCATGGAGCTAGAGGTTATGACAGTAAAAGGAAGGAATCAACTGAAAAAGGAAAGAAGAAAATTGCCTTAGCTAGGCTTTGAAAAAGGAGAATAGGCAAAAACAGAGGAGGTTGAGGGGATTTACCAGGAAAGGAAAACTGCAATTGGGAAGGGTAGATGTCTGAAACCAAATGGCATGTTTAGGGAACTTCCATGGAATTGTGCAGGATACAGTGGACTTGAGGAAAAGAAACAACAGGTAATAGGAGAAGGAAGAAACTGGGAAGAGTCCAAATAGAGAACATACATATCCTACAAATTATCTCTGGAGGCGAAGAGAAGTCAATACACTGGTATAAGTTGGGGAGAATCACTGACCACACCTATTTAGACAATGGTTCTGGCAATGGATGGATTGGAGACACCTGGAATAGAGGCAGGGTGACCATTATGAAAAATGATCTGGGCCTGGCCCTGGCCAGTTTGGCTCAGCGGTTAGAGCGTCGGCTTGCGGTACGGAGAGAGCCGGGTTCGGTTCCCGCTAAGGGCACATACTTCGGTTGCAGTTTGTCCCTGGCCCTGGTTGGTTGTGCGGGTGGCAGCCACTCGATGTGTCCCTTCACGTCGATGTTTCTCTCTCTCTCCCTTCCTCTCTCTCCCTCCCACTCTATCTGTACAAAAAATGGAAAAATATCCTCGGGTGAGGATAAAAAAAAAAAAAATGATCTGGGCCTGAACTGTCATGGTGGCACAGGAATGTAGAGCGGCAAGACATGTCTGGGAGCATCTATAGATGGGTTGGGGAAGTGGAGGCAGGGTGATAAGGGAGGAAGGCTGTAACAGTTAAGAGTTCCTGTTTTCTGAGTACCTAGAACCTAGAATCCTTTACAAATGTGACCTCCTAAGACTATTCACCTGCACCTCACAGATGAAGAAATCCAGACCCAGAGAAATGAACTTGCTTAGGAATATGCAGCTGGTAAATTGTGGAGCTGAGATTGAAATCTAGGTATGACTGATGTTAAGCTTCTACTGAATCGAGTCCAGGACAAGTTTATTATCACTTCATCCATTCTGATTCCAGGGATGCCAATGTCAACAACCAAGAAAGAGGACTCGGAAGGGAGCAGAAGGAATGCAGTAAAGAGGAAAATGAGTTCATGCTGACATGCTGGAGTATGAGTTTCTTCTGAGAGTTAAGTGGTGGTATCTAGAGGGCAGATAGATGGTGATCTGAAATTCATAGGTAGGGGGGTGAGAAGTATGTAAATGACAAAAGAAATTTCAGCACAACAGGTCTGTGTGGGAGACAGAGGAAGTCTAACTTACACTGATGGAAAGGAAGGACAGGGAAGCTCACATTTACTGAAGCCACTATAGTGTTTTAGTGGCATTAGTAAATTAAGTTTACTAATAAAAAGACAAAAATATTTTTATGGCACGCTCTCTCTCACTGCCCACACCTTCCTTTTCTCCTGAGCTCCAAGGGACCTTCTTTTGCCTTTGTAACTTGTTTCCTGAGCCCATGCAGCCCAGCTGGCTCAATTCCTCCATGGCTCACTTCTACCTCTATGACTTTCTAAATAAACCTTTGCTGGTATATTTATATATGTGTGTGTGTGTGTGTGTGTTTAGATATTTATATTTAGAAAAAATTTATAGAGATACCTGAATGTTTTTTGAGGACTCTAGCCAATTCTTCAATAGTTCTTACACAGTCCAACCCCTGTAACAAAAATGGAAGACAGGTTTCTAACCTATAAATAGTTTACATTACCTTCAGAAATAATGAAATTATTTTCAACTCATTCTATACACATTTTTCTCTTTTAGGTGAGCATTAATTGGTATTCATAGGAAGTATCCTAAGGATACAACCCCTCCAATACATTCTACTTACTAACTGCTTTTGGAGGCTCAACAAAGGCTGAAATCTGAACCTCCAGTAGTCTCTGAACCCATGAGGACCTCCATTTTTTCTCTCTATGTAATTTTGTCACTAAGAAGTACCTATGTGCCAGCATAAAAAAGAGGGAGCTTTTGTGCCCTGTCTAATTCATTCTGGGCAGAGCTGCATTATAGTTTCATTATGAGCTGATGAATTGCTATGGAGAGTAACTGAGCTCAGACTGTTTCGCCATAGAACTAGACAAAAATATAACATACCAAATTAAAGTCCTACAGCAAATATAAATATTTCAAATAGATCATACTTTTAAAAAAGTTGGGATGACCCTTTCCAGCATAAGTCTTTTTGAAGGTTATATACATCTCAGAATATATTAGAAATTTTATTTTAGAAATGCCTTAAATACTAGTATATAAATCATGTAAAACTTCCATTTGGATGATATACATGAAGGTCATTCTATATATCAATCCCAATATTGCATATCTACCTTAGTCACCAAAGTCAGGCTAGATAACTTGGCTATTTTCCCAAATCAGATACATCCTCAAAAGACAAAGACTTGAAACTAAGAAAAGGCATAAAAAGATCTTGGGCAACAACAGCACCAATCACGTAGATATATAGTATCTGGACTCCTGTTAAACATTTTTAAAGAGTAGGGATTTGGTACTTCTCAAATTTTATACCTTCACAGTAGTTTATCTTTCATCTTCACCAGAACTGGCAAACCTTTTGTTTTGTGGACCATATAGTCTGTTGCAACTACCCAGTCTCCAGTTACAGGGTGAAAGCAGCAGTAGATAATACACAAATGAAGAGGTGTGGCTATGTTCTAATGAAACTATATTTACAAAACAGGCAGTGGGCAGAATTTAGCCCACAGACCATAGTGTTTGCTGACTCCTGACATACATGAGTCAAGCTGATGTGCATAACAATCTTCTAAAGCAAGAGGACCAGAATTACCAGTTTCATTTTATAGATTATCAACCAAAGACCACAGGAGTAGGGACTAATGAAACCAGGTGGGTCTTGAATCCAGGTCTCTGGACCGTGTACGTTTAGCATTCTTATCATTATACCACATTGCCTGCCTGCTACTCTAAGTCAGCCTAGTGGCCATGCCAATGGGACACTGGAGAGGCTGGTTTGGCTTTCTGGAGTCCCCAGATATCGCTTTCAAATCCACTTTGTACTACAGGCTGAAAGTACAAGGCTTTCTACTCCTCACATTCACCTCTAGACTTCTTACTGTATTTGGCCAGACAGATTGTGTCCTGATACATTTGGAACACACCAAGCTGTACTGTCAGTTAAAGCTGTCAAATCACACTGCCACAGCAAATGGAAGTTTATGTGGTCACTGTACCTCAGCAGTTTCAAGTCCATTAATTGTCATACAGACGTCAAGGTCACTCTGTTTGAACCCAAATCCATTTTTGGAGGAGCCAAACAAGCTCAATTTAGTTCCTGTTAGGGATATATGAAAAGTAATAACTAATTATCTGAGTACATTTAATTTTCAGATCAAAACGTCCCTCTCATGAATCAAGTTACCCAGTTAACTATCCAATATTAATCTCATAATTATGTTCGCTTATTAATCAGTCATTTATTATATCTTCTCTCAAACTTTACCTTAAATAAATACAAGGATAAAGACTACCAAGTGCCACTTTATTCTTAAATGTAAGGACATTTTGAGGAAAATGTAGATCACCTAAACATATTTAATATTGTAAGCTTACTACTTTCTAAATAAATTCACTTTTTAGAGGTGTAGACTTTTGACTCTAAACATAGTCCTCAATGAAATTCACATTGTGGCATCTGCTAAGCAAAATCCTACACTGCCACTGTCTTCTCTGTTGGGAGCTATGACTGGGCTGACCAAAGACTGCCCTGGGCATGCCTATCCCCATCACTTCAAGATTACGTTCTTATTCTCCAAATTAACGTGCCTGTAACACATGGGTGCTTTCTCAAGGAAGGTCACACTACCCTTCTTTTCTTAAAGGTAAAATATTTACCTGGAAACTCCTGTCTTATGAAACTTTCTAGGTTTTGTCGAATATGTTCGCGAGCCTGATCTTCTAAAATAGTCGGAGAAAAATCCTCTGTTTAAAATAAAGAGAAATATTCAGAACCAAAAATTGTTCACATTCTCTGAAAACCACATTTTTAATAAAACAAAACCTAACAGGCTTAAAGGGAAAAACCCCTAAATTTTGTGTCTTCTCGGTAGACAGCATAGACAATGTAAAAGAGGATGCCTTTAAAAAACCACATTCTATCACCAAAAACTACTTCTGAAATGGAAACTAATCTGAACAAGGGTTCTAGTACTGGGTTTCAGAGACCCAGAGCTCTAAAGGCGTGGCCTCAGGGAACTCTCCAAGAGCATGTGCATATATATTTAATGAGGACCTACATTTTCCTTTCATAGCTTATAACCTCCAAAAAGGTTTAAAAAGTTAAATCACTCATAAAGAACGGTCATCTTCTAGCACAGACAGACACCTCAAGAGGTGGCAGTGGGATGCCTCAAGTTCTACTCTAAGTAGCTGCATCTCAATTTAAATACCAGTGATGCCCAAACCGGTGTTTCTTAGAGGGCTGTTATGAAGGTTACTAATTAGCGTTAACCAAAAGAAAGATTTAAATAAGTTCTTCACCATATTTCTCAGAAGGCTTTATAATGCTAATGTGCCCTGGGAACCCCTAAGGGAGAGAGCAGGAGGTAGAGTTATTCCCTATTGGACCTGTGGAATACTTCTTAAACTTTTTTTTTGTTTATTGATTTTAGAGAGGAGGGAGTGGGAGGGTGGGAGAGAGAGTGAGAGAGATACATTGACTGGTCGCCTCCCATATGCGCCCTGACATGGGATCAAACCTGCAACCCAAGTATGTGCCCTGATTGAGCCACACTGGCCAGGGCAGTGTGGAATACTTCTTGTCACAAAATACTATTAACTGTACCTAGAAACACATTCCAAGAAATATCAGTTGGGAAATGATAGTACTCTAATCTTAAGCCTTTAAAAACCTGCCCTAGCCAATCTGGCTCAGCTGTTAGAGCTTGGGACCGCAGACCAAAGGGTCGCAGGTTCAATTTCCGGTCAAGGGCACATGCGTGGGTTGCAGGTTCCATCCCCAGCCCTGGTTGGGGTCATGCAGGAGGCAACCAATTGCTGCTTCTCTCTCATATCGATGCTTGTTTCACTCTCTTTCCTCATACCTCCCTTCTACTTTATCTGAAAATCAATGAAAAAATATCCTTGGGAGAGGATTTGACACAAAAGATTTTAGCCCAGGCTGTGTGGCTCAGTGGACTGAGTGTTGTCCCATGGACTGAGAGGTTCCGGTTTGATTCCCAGTCAAGGCACATGCCCAGGTTTTGGGCTTGATCTCCAGTTGGGGACATGCAGGAGGCAGCCAATTGATGTATGTCTCTCATATCGATGTTTCTCTCTCTCTATATATATAAATCAATAAAAACATATTTAAAAAAAAAGACTTTAAAGATCCTCCTTCCCGATCTTTTTTTTTTTTTTTTTTTTAATCCTCACCCGAGGACATTTTTTTTTTTTTTCCATTTTTTGTACAGATAGACTGGGAGGAAGAGAGAGAGAGAAACATCGATGTGAAAGGGACACATCAAGTGGCTGCCACCCGCACGACCAACCAGGGCCAGGGACAAACTGCAACCGAAGTACGTGCCCCTAGCGGGAACCGAACCCGGGTCTCTCCAGACCGCAGGCCGACGCTCTAACCGCTGAGCCAAACCGGCCAGGGCCTCCTTCCCGATCTTTAACAATTATTTATTGTGTGTCCTAAATGCAACAGGACACATAGAACACTGTGGATACAATGGAGAATGGAACAGACTTAGTCCCTATAATGAAGCTAGCAGGTTAGTGATTCAGATGACTTTGAGAAAATGTCAATGTAATACTTTAACAAATCAAAGGAAATATTGCCTGGCCAGTGTGGCTCAGTGGATTGAGTGTCGTCCCATGGAATGACAGGTCCCGGTTTGTTTCCTGGTTAGGGCACATTACTGGGTTGTAGGCCCAATCCCCAGTGGGAAGTGTGCAGAAGGCAGCCGATCAATGTATCTCTCTTATATCAATGTTTCTCTCTCTCTCTTCTACTCTCTCTAAAAAATCAATAAAAAACAAAAAAACAAAAGAAATGTTAATAACTTACTATAACACTGGATGCAAACTTGATCTAGGATATTTGTAAATTTGGGTGTTAATGGTGGCAAAGGTTCCAGCTGGATTCTTTTGAAGTCTTCAGGGCAATCCTTCTTTAGATGACCCTCTCGTTTACATAAACTGCACACTACTGTAGGAGACTGCAGGAAGAGGGCAAAGCAAAACAAGACCTAAGATAAAGTTTTACTTGACAAATAAAGGGGTCCTGAATCTTTTTTTTAATTACATAGTCTACTCTCCGCATTCCAAAGGAATGAAAATACAATGTGAAGCCATTCCAAATTATGAGAGACACCCTGATGGCATAATCAAGAGGGAAAGGCAGTTACTTTCACTACCAACAGCATTCCCTTTCTCCTATGCAAATTCCCAAGAGTCTAAGGAAGGAAATGGACAAGTACTGGAGTTAAAACTCAACTCATGAGCCACTGCTAGAATGGCGTGAGCCCTGTTCTAGTATACAAAATTGCAATTACATGCATTAAAACTGTTTCAAGTCTTCTAGTTCTATGTCTAGGACTGGTACTGATCACCTACCTTGCCTTTTGTGAAGGTGAGTTTACTAAACTCATAGAAGAAATCAGATGGACCCACAGTTGAATTTTCTTCACATACACTTTCCTCCTTAAGACTGATTTTATTAAGTTCCATTGGTAGAACTCCATCCACATCTTTTCCACTTTCTTGTAAGTCTTCATCCTTAGACTTGCCTACCTCCTCATCCTCTTCAGACAGGGCATCCTCATCCCCTGATCCAGTGTAGGCAGTGTCCTCATCTTCTTTTCCAGTAACAGAGAGCCTGGGTTCTTCATCCTCCTCCCCCTCCTCTTCCTCCTCCTCATCAGAGTGGATGATTCCTGATATCTGGCCTTGTCTTAAAGGGGCAAAATGACTCAGAGCATCTTCTAGTTCATCAGGACCTTCTAAGCTTTCATCAACATCAACACTGCTATCTAAAGTAGCAAATCCATCGCATTCTTTAACCATAGGATTTTCAAAGCCCTCTAAATCCAAACTGCTATCTGTCTCAGTATTTCGTGTGCTACCCGAGACGAGAGGCTCTCCACATTTGCTACTGCTTATATCTTGAGCATCAGCAGTCAAAGGATGCTTGCTCTTCCTTCCAATTTTTTCTTTCTCTGTTTTACTTCCTGTTTCTTGATGATGTACATTAATATCCTCATGATGATCACAACTGACTTCTGTCTTGATATAATCTGTGTTTTCCAGCTGTACACTGACGTGTGTGTTTTCTGTTCCCTCTGTTGGTGGGCTTCCAAAGCTTTCAGGAGTCTCTTTTAGAGTAAGTGGCTGTACCTTGCAGGTGTTTGCAGCTGAACTGGGAGCACTAGGACCCTGAGCCACAACTGAGTTTTTGAGTTGATCATTTTTTGCTTGTAAATCTGGATCACGCTTTGCTACTTCTTTGGAATGTTCTGAAATACATGTAACAGTACTCAGATGCTTTGGGAGGCTGGATTTTGTGATTTTGTGTGGAAGAGCAAAATATTTATATGTTGTCCTTAAACAATGAAGTATGTATTCAAACACAGGTTGATTATTTAGGGTCCTTGCCACATTTCTTTTAACAGAATAGGGATCTGTAACAACAAAAAAAATCCATCATTGCATAAATTTGTAATACATGTTTTAAAAATTAGCTTGTTCTAGATAAAATTAAGTAAACAATTATAAATTTTAGCATATAACTTATCTATTCTTTTAAGAACTTGGGGATGGGGAGTAAGAAGATACAGTTTAAGAACAACAAAAAAAAATGTTTTCTTAAATGTCTGCTCTATGAAGAGAACCCATCTGTTCTGAACCAGTACCCCCTTCCCTATTTTGTTCTGTGACTGTGGAAGTAAAAAAGATGTCATGAGTGTGGGTCTTGTGCCCTGGGGAAGTGAGGGCTTCCCGCCAGGATCTGCTGAGTGCTCTGCCTCCCCACTCAGCCAGACCCTATGATTGTAGAGCTTACCTCCACTCTTCTGCCCTGGGAAGCCCCATCACTGAACTGGCTGGACTGAATTCAGGGGCGAGAGGGAGGCAGCAGGAGGAGACACCACTTCTCTCAATCTTTTCTCCTCCCCTAGACTCCAGCAGGTTAGGCAATTGGCCAGAAGAGCTGAGCCAGAGAAACTGCAGGGGAGGGTTTAAAAAGGTGAGAACCCTATGACTGCACACAGGATTTATGCAAATTGCAAATTGCAAAAAAAAAAAAAAAAAAAAAAAAAAAAAAAAACCACACCAAAAAAACCCTCTTATGCAATATGAAGCTTGAAAAAAAAAATCAAGCAAAAATAAGAGAATTCCATTTAGGATATTCTTTAAATTATTTAAACAAGGAGAATTAAGATTTCTAGAGGGGTTTCAACCTACAGACTTAGAAAACCTGAGAAGGGGTAGTCCATTCAATGAAGTCTATGGGGCACATCAGTGTGTCTTTTATTTTTTAATTTATTTTAAATCCTCACCTGAGGATATGTTCTAGAGAGAGGAAGGAAGTGGGGAGTGGAGAGAGAGAGAAAGAGAAAGACTGATTGGTTGCTTCTGACTGGGGCTTGAACCGACTGAACCTAGGTAAGTGCCCTCACTGGGAATTGAACCTGCAACCTTTTGGTGTACAGGATGACTCCCCAATCAACTTAACCACCTAGCCACGGCCACATCAGTGTGTCTCTTAATGATTTCAATTAAATGAGCCTTCACTAGAAAAAGTGGTTTCATGAATAAGTTTTAAATGTTATTGCTGCAGATATTCCAAAAATGACTAACTATCCTTTCTATGGAGGGGAATCAACAGATAATGTTATTTTTCTTGAGAAAAAGTATTTTCCTCACCAACAATTCATGAAAGGATTGAATCTAAAAATACAGAAATGAGAACATTCAAAGAGAATAGGGGGCTCATACATCACTAGGAAAAAACTTTTTATGGGTTCAAGTTTTTAAGCAACTTACAAAGAAAGCAAGGACTCAGCCAGCCATTATTTTAGTTGCTTAAGTAATTAAGATGTCCTATTGCGTCACTTAAAAAAAAAAAGAAACCAAAAAACTAAAAATGAACAGTTTGATCCCTGCGAATGACCATGTAACTAACACATGCAACATCCTATTTATTTCACTTCTGGGGTCAGGCCTACCTTACACATAGGAGCTGAAAAGAGACTGAAATAAAAAGCATGCTGTTAAGATAGATACCTTTCAAGAAAAAAAAAAAGGCATTAAAGATATACATTTTGAGATACCTTCAATGGCAATGCGCTTTTTGGGCCAATCCTTTGATTCACGAGATATCATTTCTTTGACTCGAATACTTATCACTAAATCAGCCAAATTAAATTCTAAAGCATAGAATCGAAGCAATTCCACCCAGAGCTGCCCAACTGGTACTGAAGGCTGGTGCTTTAAATCAAATATTAATGATACCTATAACAGCAACAAGAAAACAGGTATTTCATATGTCAGCACATTATGAAAAATTAGAGAGCATTCAAAAACATCAACTTTAAACAAATCTTAAAAACCTTAGCAAAAATATAAATTTGACAAACCATTTAGATAAACCACATTCTAGTTTCAATTTTGCTTGTGCAAAATAGCATTCCTTTACTACACTGCTGGAATTAGAATATTGGAAAATCTTGTCATTATCATAGGAATAGACAGGCAGTTGCATGTAATCAGGCAGCACTCCTAATTTTGAAGTTTTAATGACAGGTGGAGAGAACTGTGCATCTATTTCTACTCTTCGCATTGAGCTAGCTGTTTCTGCTGCTGGTGTTACACACACAAATGGCAGCTGCTAAATGCATATAGCAAAAGGAAAAATGCTCCTCTCGTTTGCTTTGAGAAGCTACATAAACTCACTGAATCTGCCAGTGATCCTAAATTGATTTTAAGGTCAAATAACTGTTGAAATCAGAAATTATTGCTAGTTTTACATTCACAGACTCTTGACAGGTTGAAACACACTGTGATGTAATATACTGGAAAGCACATAGGACTTAGAATTTAAAAAAATGTGTTTGATACTAATTTTGCCACTTCATAGTTCTTAACTGATCTGTGACTTAGCTTCTTCATTCTCAGTTGGCAGTTTAGCACAGTGGCTAAGAGAACTGGCTTTGGAATGAGACATGATGAGGTTTGAAATCCAGTTCAGCCACGTACTAGCTGTGTATAATCCTAGTCAAAGTCTATAAGCTGTCTAAGCCTCAGTTTCCTCATGTGAACAATGGGGATCACAGTACCCACCTCATAGGGTTGTTGGGAGGATTGAGTGAGAGAGTGTCTGAAAAGAGCTTAGCACAGTGCCTGGCACACATGTTCAAAAAATGATCGCTATCTGCAGAGTAGGGATGAAACCACCTATAACACAGGATAGTTATGAGGATTAAATCAGAAACAAGGGAAAACAGACTCGGTTGCTCTCTGTATTTTTTCACTTAGATAAAATCAAGTACAAGAAATCCATTTATCACTGAAACAATGTCACAACTCTAAGATGCTCTAAGGGTAATCTAATTCAACTCCTGTATGTTACAAGAGAAGAAACGGAAGCCAAAGAGATTACATGACTTGTCTAAGGTCCCATTGCTTGTCATTGGCAAAATGAGGACAATGTCTCCCAACACAGTACAGTGTTCTTTCACCACACCATGCAATTTCAACAGTGTCCAGATCTTACTTTCAGAAGTGGCAGCATGATTCTTCTCTCCAAATAGCATAAAAATATAAAGTATTTAATTGGACTTAGAGTAACAGCTTTTCCTTCTAAGATATAAAAATTTGTTCCCAGTTGCCCTTTATTATATCAAGCTTCAAAACAAGTGGTACAAATATTTTATTAACCACTAAATTTCAACCACAAAGATTCTGTCTAATAAGACAAAGGCATCTGGTGGATTTACAAGGCAGAACTGGTTGAAAATGGAAGTTGTCTAGGTCCCAAACACTATAGTTGAGGACACAAAGAAAATCCCCAAAATTGAAAGCCTTATTACATTTCACCTCTTTATCATAAGCCATACTCAGCATTACTAAGGATTTTTAAGCTTCTCACAGAATAACTTGATAATACTGTATAAGGAAACTTAACAGATCTTCGACCTATCTAGACTAGTGGTACTTAAGCTGTTTTTTGGGGGGGATTAATGTTTTTTTTTTTTTTTTTTTTTTAAATAGAGAACACTTTCTTTTTTGGCACTGAGTTAAGCATTCTATAAGTCAATGACCCTATGAGAGGGTACCAATATCATCCCCATTTATAGGTGAGGAAACTGGGCACACGGAAAGATTAACTCATTTGCCCAAGAACACACAAACTAGGAAGTGGGAGAGCTGGGATACTAATTCACTTATCTTGGCTTCATAGCCTGTGCTCTTATCTACTGCTGGAACCCCAAACAGGACACAGATAAAACTGTGCTGGTGGCAGAAGAGGAAGAGAGGCACCACCTCCCCGTTCCCTCCTTAAGGATTCTGGAAAACAAAACTGGAGCATCTACGATTCACCACTACCTCTTCTTTCTAGGCATGGACTATGAGCTAGTGGTGTAAAGCTGAGATTAAAATCCTGGTCTCAGAACATACTGACAAACCTCAGAAACAAGTGGGGTTGGGAAAGTCGGGAAGAGATATTCCAAAGAATTTATATGCATATATGCACAACTAATGGACACAGACATTGGGTTGGGGAAAGCAGGAGGCGGGTGGGAATGGGGAGGAGGAGTCAATTGGGGAATAAAAGGAGGGACATCTGTAATACTTGCAACAATAAAATTTTTTTTAAAAAAGTGATGAGAAGAATAGTTATACTTATGATAAAATAAATAAATAAATAAATAAAAATCCTGCCCTGGCCAGTTTGGCTCAGCAGTTAGAGCGTGGGCCCACAGACCATTGAGTCTCGGGTTCAATTCTGGTCAAGGGCACGTACTACTTTGGTTGCGGTTCGTCCCTGGCCCTGGTTGGGTCGTGCGGGAGGCAGCCAGTCCATGTGGCTCTATTACATTGATGTTTCTCTCTGTCTCTTTCTCTTCCTCCCTCCCACTCTGATAATAAGTAGAAAAATATCCTCAGGTGAAGAAATTAAAAAAAAAAAAAAAAAAATCCTGATCTCAGAAGTAATTTGAGGATATTGTCATTTCACTCCAAAGGGTTATAAGGAAGGTTGTGGGATCTGCCCCAATTTGGGGCAGAATCCTATTCTTACTAGTAGTATAATTATACTGCTCAGACTTTTATTTGAAATTTATATGGCAATTCTTTCCTTGTGCATAAATTCCCCTGCCTACCCCTAATGGCTGAGTGGAAACAAATTCATATACTTAATTCATTATTTTAGTATCTGGGGTGAACTTTTTATCTATTTAACTCCATAATACCATCTAAGACCTAAATACTTTGAGGATAGATAGGGATTTAACTTTGAATTCTCATTATCTTTCACAGGACCCTGCACACAGAGCTACACCAATAACTATAAATCTAATGACGTGAATTTAACCTTTCTCATTATTTGTCTATGCAAAGGACTACACAGACTAGGAAATGAAACAGTTAAGATAGCTGAGGAAAGAAGAGAGGACTGATTAACTCACAAACTCTACAATTAATGGCAGAATTAAAAACAGATGGTAAAATTAGACACACGTGAGAACAGACCTGTCCCCTTTTAACAGGTATTTTTTTTGGTGCCTCTTCTTTTGCTGTGTTTACATCCCCTGTGGCATTATCAGTGTATTCCCAGACCACGACATCTTTCTGAATATCTTTTAGGCTGAAGTTGCCTAGGTTTTTTAATGAGAATCCTTCAATCTAGGAAAAAATTAGACACAGTATTACAAGGTAGAAGCAATTTTGTATCTATCAGAGCATATTAATCCTTCAAGGAATTAAAAGGTAACACACTTATGGTTCATTGAAAATATAAAAGGTATCAGTTATAAAATACCTCTGAGATATCTATAAATTTCAAAAATTTAAAGTAATAAACAAAGTTTTGATTTGCAAAAGGGTGATTTTGTGAAGTAATTCTTTAGTAAATAGTTTAAGAGAAAACAATATGGCCAGGCCTAAGGCCATGAGTTCTGCCGTAAATCTGTCTGGGATCAAATCTCAACTCCTGGAGTGGCGGTGAGTAAAGGAGGGTAAAGGAGGGATAAATGGTGATGGAAGGAGACATGACTTGGGTTGGTGAACACACAATATAATATACAGATGATATACTAAAGAATTGTACACTTGAAACATATACACTTTTATTAACCAATGTCACCCCAATAAATTCAATTTAAAAAAAAAGTGAAAGGGAAAAAAAAAATCTCAGCTCCCTCATGTACTTTCTTGAGGTCTCAGGTTTCTGTTAAAAGGGATAACACTAGAATCTCCATCATGGGATAGTTGTGACATGAAATAATGGCAATAAAGGATTCAGAGACTGGGTGTGGCAAGTAGTAAATGCTCAAGACATGTAAGACATTGCTTCTAGGGATATTGTTGAGATACATATTGCTGAAGAAAATAGTCTGGGCTTAAAAGGTCTAAGAAACCTGGAACAAATCTGAACAGATTTCTTTAGTGTACAATGAGATTTATCACAAGTCTTGAAACAGGTTAATGTACATAATGAATGTGAAGTGGGATGTGGTATACCATTTCCCAAATGTATTTCTACATCAAATGGATTACTTCTTTGGTTTAACAGAGTAATTCTTCCCCCACCAAAAATAAAAAGAAGTCATATTACTCTCAGTTACAATGGCTTCCTGCAAACTCAGAATGAAATTCACAGTCCTTTCCAGGGCCTAGAGAGGGCCCATTTCATCTGACCCTTTGTTACTTCTCTGATCCATCTTCCTGGCTCATAGCTGACATCCACTACTGCTCGGAAGGTTCTTTCTCCCAACAATCAGAGAGCCCACTCTCCTTCAACGCATTGAGGCTCTGCTCAAATATCTTTTTCTCTGAACAGAGTCTTCCCTTTCACTTTCTGTCCTTCCCCTGGTTTATTTTTCCTCAGAGAAATTACTGCCACTTGATATGTACTTAACCTTTCTCACCTCACTGGATATATAAATTCAAAGACAAGGACGTTGCTTTGTTCACTGCTCTAGCTCTAGCATGTAGAACAGTGCCCGGCACAGTAAATGCTCAGTAAGGACTTGCTGACTGACTGAAAAGAACAAACCGCTATCTTACAGAAAGCACGAGGTGTGGCAGCTGTTTGTTAGAGGTATGTAATCAATATTTTCCTTCAATTCTGTGGCTTGTGTTTTTATTTTTTTGAGAGGTTTAGAGTAGTAAAAAATTTTAAACAGTTTACCAATATTTTCCTCTATTGATGTGGTTTGCACCTTTAGTGTTCTACCAAAGAAATCCTTGCCTTTCCCCAAGCTGCAAAGATTTTTCTCCTGGAGCATTTTATAGTTTTAATTATGACACTTATGTCTTTGATTCATTCTGAGTTCATTTTGGGGTATGTTGTGAGGCAAAGATTTAATGTTCAATTTTTTCCCTTAAGGATATCTAGTTTTGTGCTTGCTTCGGCGGCACATATACTAAAATTGTAATGATACAGAGATTAGCATGACCTCTGCGCAAGGATGACATGCAAATTCTTGAAGCATTCCATAAAAAAAAAAGGATATCTAGATTTTCTAACACCAATTGTTGAAAACCTTTCCTTTTCCCCAATGAAGTGCCTAATTCATTGCTTAATTGGGGGAAAGTCATTCAGATTTTCAGTCTTCTACTTGGGTCTGTCAGAAAGGGTTATCTATCCACTAAGGGCTGACTGTGCTCTCTCACTCTCTATTCCACCAGGGGAGAGCAATCTGGCAGAGACATCTTCTCAAGGCCCAGAATTCTCTCATTTTTAGTACTGCAAACACAAAGAGAGCTCCCTTTAGGCAACTGGGACACACAGTGGACTGCTACCCCTTATGCCAGAACAAAGATTATAAGGGGCTTATTCTGCTTTAGCCTTTATTCCTAGGTCTTGGCTTAATTCTCAATCTATTAAGTAAAAAGAAAAAAATGCCCATAATAATTTTTCCCCTATGTATCAATAGTAAAGAACTACTGCTCTGGTACATGCTCCTTAGATAATGAGAACCAAGGTACTTAAAATAACCAATGTGCCAAAGTTAGCTTTTCACCAAGTAAGACTTTCTATAAAATAAGTGGACACAGATTTTTATCACGACAAATCCCTAGGGTTAAATACCTAGTGAAGTTTCTAAGAGGTTGAGAATAACAACATTTAGACTTTGAGATGGCTTATTCTTATATCTTATTATATGAATAAATCAACTGAACTTTATCCAGAAAGAGTAGTCACGTTACTGAAATCTAATTCTTCTTAAAGATAATATCAAAGTATCATTCAAGAGGTGACTACTAAGTTCTGCATCAATAGCAATACTTATATTTTCTCTGTTTCACAGGGATTGGGGAAGAAAGAGAACTAAAGACTAGAAACAGAAAGTAAGTTACAGTGAACCAGATGCTTCCTATAGTCTGCCTGGAGGTGATATATAAATTCAAGTATCAGATTATAAATCTGTACCCAGCCCTGGCCTATTTGGCTTAGCAGTTAGAGCGTCAGTCCACAGACCAGAGAGTCCTGGGTTCGGTTCTTGCTAAGGGCATGTAACCTCAGTTGCAGTTTGTCCCCGCCCCAGTTGGGGTCGTGTGGGTGTCTCTTGCACATCAATGTTTCTCTCTCTCTCTTCCTGTCTCCCTCCCGCTCTATTTGAAGATAAATGCAAAAATGTCCTTGGGTGAGGATAAAACAAACAAACAAAAAACTGTATCCAAAGACAGGGTGTACCAAATGATAAATTTAATACAGGTTCACATGCTCTTGTTTGAAACCCTCAGGATCACATGTGTTTCACAAGTGTTTTCTTCAGTTTAGGAAAGTTCTCCCATCAGAGTATAGTGCAGCATCATTAATATTTAATATTAATATTTCAGCAGTAAAAGGTATGAATATTTACAGTAGTAGGATAAATTCATGTCAGTTCAGAGTAGGTTATTAGATTTCGAAATTATGTACAGGTATTGTGTGGCTCTGTAATAAAAATCAATATTGAATAAATAACCAAAAAAGTTTTATACCCATGATCCCAGATAAACAGGCAGAAGGGGTTCTTTCCTCTGTTGAAGAAAGAAAACGGTCATCAGGGCAAACACATAAGGTGGCAAACCTCCTTCTTCAGGGTGATCTATACTGCAAAGCTGCAAATGAGAGAAAAGAGAAGCATTCTTTTGTACCAATTTGTCATATACACAATATGGTCTAAAACTTGTAACTTCTTTTCCTTGTTATTACATGATTTACTCCCCAGAATAAAACACCACAGAGACAAAATGTAAAACCTCCTTACACATTTGGAGCAACCACGTATTGTGGTTTTGAGTAACAGCTTTGATTTCAAATTTTTAATACTGTTAACTACACTTAATTGTCATGAACCCTAAAATAACATTTGCTGTTTCATTTTTTGACACCAATAGTAATCCAATCACTTGGTGTGGTTCTAAGAGCCAGGTTTGCTCAGTTTAATGGTCACCTGATCCTAATCTACTGCCTTGAAAACACATGCTTTGACCACATAAGTGATCAGGGGAGAGAATGTGGGTAGACTAATTAACACAACAGAAACAACTTAAAAAACATGGTTTAGCCCAGCTAGAATGGCTCAGTTGATTGTCATTCTGTGCACTGAAAGGTTGCTGGTTTGATTCCTAGTCAGGGCACACACCTGGGTTTCGGATTTGATCCTGGATTGGGGTGCATACAGGAGGCAAGCAATTAATGTTTCTCTCTCACACTATGTTTCTCTCTGTCTTTCTCTCCCTTCCTTTAAGCATGTCCTCAGGTGAGGATTAAAAAAAAAAAGCCCAGCCAGTGTGGCTCAAGGTTGAGCGTTGCCAGTTCAATTCTCGGCCAGGGCTCGATTCCCATAGGGGGCATGCAAGAGGCAGCCAATCGATGTTTTTTTTCTCTCACTGATGTTTCTATTTCTCTCCCTCTCCCCCTCTCTAAAAAAATTCATTAAAAAAAATAGCATAGCCTATTTAGTGATAAAGCAGGAGGCAGCATTCAAAGGATGGCATACTGTAATTATCAACTCACCAGACAAGAGCAGGGTATTCTCTGTTCATCCTGGACTAAGCCACAGGAACTATGCATTGTTACTGCTGTATTATTTTAAATCAGTAAAGCTTTGGATTTTCTCTATAAGGCATCTGCAGAGCAATTCAATTTTATAATCATGATGGGACCTTACATTTGGGGCAATGTTAAATCCTCTACTGGCATTTTAATTGAGGTACTATATTTAAAAGATTATGAAAATGTAAGCAAGACCAGATAGCGACTTTCACTTATTGGAGTCTCTGGGTACAATACTGGAAATGAAGCTTGATTTCAAACTTTCCTGTGCCTAAGAATCACCTCATAAAACTAGTTAAAATGTAAATTCTTGGGCCATGTTCTCTGGGATATGATCCACAAATCTGATTTATAACAAGCCTGATAAATCATCTGGATCTTTAGAGTAATACTGTTATATAGTGAAACAGAAACACTGAATTTCCCTTTCTGTGCACATTAAAATTTCTGTTCCAATATTCAGATGCCTACTCTCTTGGTGTCTATAAATATGTATCCAAACATATAAGATTAAATTAACCAGGCAAAAATCAAAGCGTATTGCTTATGCACACGGAGTGAATTTACGCACTGAAGCAATAAACCTACCTTTGCCCAGTACCTAAATGCAATCACCAAAGGAACCAGCTTCGATTCTAGTTTTCCAAGGGCAGTTAAGTGATTTGTTGTCTGACAAGCATTTTCATTTCCTGCACTCACTTTACAAAAAAGACCACTGGTGGGGGATGGGTTGAGGATGAGGAGGAAAAAAAGAAAGATAAAAAGTGTTATATAGGTATGGGGTATCTTTTATGCCAACAATGACTAATTTACATTGATGATAAGTACTTTAAAAATGAAAATAAAGTAAAAAAAAAAATCACTAAATATTTATGGGTCACTTAAGACATTTTCATTTTTAAAAACATAGGGCAGCTATTTTCTGAGTAAATTTTATTTTTCAGAACAAAAACCTTTGTGCTTTCATATATTAAAACTATTTTTGGTGGAAATGAAAATAAGGGAAATACTATATGTTTCAAATGGAAGCATGGATTCATATATGTTAAGTATAAGAGAATGTTCTTCTCCCAAGAGTTGGAGGAATCTGCTTAGTGAACAATCAATATAGCTTACAAACCACCCATTTATAATATTGATAGTAATTCCAGATGGAGGGAGAGATACATGTGTGAAGTCCTACTAAGTGCTATTTAGTAGTGCTAAGAATACTGCTTAAAAAGATGGCTAAATGTGATCAGAGCAAGTAACTGATAATTCTTTTTTTGCCATGTTGAAATGGATCAAAATGCTTCCTTCATTTTTCCTTTTAAATAATTTTATTCTTTAAAAAATAAAAGTTTCCTTTTGCATCAATTGCCAAAAGTATATACCAAGAATGCTAGTAGTAAGCCTATGAAATTAACCACACAAGGAGTTTATCATTCTAGAAACTGGACATTAAGGCTTAGTGAAGTACATGTGCTTTTGGCAAGTTAATATTTAATATATAAACAGCTTAAAGAAACAGACCTTTGCTTCTCTCTGCACACCACCACTGGCACCCTAGCATGGAAATCGGCATCAACATCAATAAAAGAATCTGAGGAAAGAAAAAATATTAAGAAAGGTTAATTATATCTTTGTTTAAAAAGAGAACTAGATAAAGTATAATTCCAGTTGTGACTTATCTGCTCAGCATTTTTAAAGACCATTACCAAGGAAAGCTCTGAGATGACTTGAAAAGGAAAAAGTATATTCAACAATTAAGTAATCACATTAATTAAAAGCCCTTATTTGGAAAATGACTATATTATTGACTTAGAATGTTTAAATGTTATACGAATAACATAATTAGATGTATGAACAGGATATTCAAACAAAATTACTGCAAAAGCTACTAAAATATTTGAGGTAAAAAATATATAGACTAAAGTATAAAAATATATATTTACATGTTTAATTTAACAAGAAGGATGGAAAAGACTAATTCAAGAGATAAAGACAGTTGGATGAGACCTATGGAAAACCATAAAGCTCCAAGCTGGACATTACCTGGACAACTGACAAATCTACCTTGGAACAACCATTTGTTGATTCATTAATCAGGATTGGGTCACACCTATTTGCTATTAGAAAGTATTAATTGAAACCATTGAATAAAGCAAATTACCCTTTAGTTTTACTCTCAAGAGTAAATTTTACATATTTTGTGTCTTTTTAGTCTTGGTCTAGGACTCATTTAATCTTTGAGTTGTGACATTATCATCAAGCTGAAAGCTTTACTTACAAAATGGTTATTCTGCATAGTACAGTAGATGTAAAATACCTGTTACAACTAACAGGACTCTAGTTTGTTAGTAGGCATTTGCTCTGGCTTTTGTTTGGATAATATCCAAATAATTTTAAAACCATGACTTCCTATTTTCAAAGTTTCAGAAATGATATATTCAAATTACAGACAAAAGAAACATTTAAGAGCAAAAATGTGGGAAGAATTTGGCCTTACCACTGTTCTTTAAACATTCCTGAACAAGCAGAAGAACATCTGGCTGAGACATCTAGAAAATAAATCAATAAATACATAAAATAATCCATAAGTAGTTTTGCTTCACTGAGATAACACATAGTCATCTGAATCTATCCAAATTAGAAAGCCCATTACTATCAGAGTAAAAAATTAATCATTACACTCTGCACATGTTGGTCAGGTACAGAGAAATGAACACCAAATGAGGATGAGTATGGGCAAGAGAGACCTACTACGCAATTAACTCCTAATTAACTAAGTCCTGAGTTACGTAGCCTCTCAGCAAATTTCAAAAGTTGTGCCTAGAACCTGTCAAACCGTGAACAATATTACCTCTCACTATGTAAGACTACTTCAGCAGATCATTTACTTGGTGTCCACTTCAGTCTTGCCTTTCTCCAATCCTTGCTCACAGAGGAACCAAAACTATTTAACACATTGCGTACCACATAGAAATCTCTAAGACATACGCCAGGGACCGCACGTTTTTGGGCAAACTGCACGTTAGGTTCTGAGCTGCACTCATTTGAACCAGCATATATCCATTCCCTATAGAAGGGTGTGCTGTTTTTCGAACTTCGACCCTCAGGGCGAAAAGTCACAAATACAATAATCCTATATTACCCTGAGTTTCAAAAACTGAAATAGCTAATGCAAGTGCAAACCTGAGTTAACTCGTGTGCGGTTGGGCAGGAAAACACTAACTTGTGAGCGGTCAAAAATGTGTTAAAACCATGAATTAGATCAAGTCTTGCCCCTCCTTAAAACTCACAATGGCTTCTTACTGCCCTTAGGTCAAATGAAATTCTTTACCATGGCCTACAGATCCCCCAGCCTACCTCTCTGTCCTAATCTTATGCTCTTCTTTGTCTTGGTCCCTTCACCACAGCTATACAATCCTCCCTTTAGCTCCTTGAATATATATGCCAGACTCTTAAAGATTCAGGGTTTGTGAATGCTGTTCCCTCTTCCCTTTTACCTCTTTCACTCCCCTCACCCCTTTTTATCTTTTGGGGCGCAGCCTAAAAGTTACATTTTTAAAGGGGCCTGCATGAATGCTGTGTCTGCACGTCTCTTGTTGTTTTCTGGCACAGAACCTTGTTTCCTTGCATAGCTCTCTTTATAATTAATTATATATATGTAATTACCTATCTCTTTCACTTGATATTCATTCTATGAGGGAGAAATCATTTGTTCTATTCTCTAGAACAACGGTTCTCAACCTGTGGGTTGCGACCCCTTTGGGGGTTGAACAACTTTCACAGGGGTGGCCTAAGACAATCGGAAAAGCGATTTATAACAGTAGCAAAATTACAGTTATGAAGTAGCAATGAAAATAATTTTATGGTTGGGGGTCACCACAACATGAGGAACTGTATTAAAGGGTTGCGCCATTAGGAAGGTGGAGAACCGCTGCTCTAGAATCTAGTGTAGAGCCTGGCATACAACAGAGACTCAGTGAATATTTGCTAAATAAATGAATGACATGAGATCAAAATAAGTGCTATGATGGTAAATTACCTTGAATCCTAATTCAAAGTTAAAAGAATAGTAAAATCTATTAGTCAGCTGACCATGGAGCTTTAGTAGCCCAGGATGGCAAAGAATGAGGCTGCGAAATAGAATATTTGGCGTGGTGGGGGGTGGGAGGTGTGGAACCAAGGAATCTGTATTTTAACTAGCAACCCAGGTAAATGGGCATGAATCATCTGCAAACTGGGCTATGGGAACCACCAGTGGATAAATGGATAATCAACTAAAGTACCTTTCCGTTTTAAAATTCTGACTCATCAAAAGCTTTTTGAATCATGTTTAAACCAGAAAGCTAGGTCAGGTGTGGTTCTTCAAAGTATAATTAACAAAGTAGGTGTATAAAAAAGGAAACCCAGGAGCAAAGTAAGCTTTTAGGTCATAAATGTTTATATACCTACACTGCTTAAAATCTAATATTCTTTCCTGCCACTGGAAAGTTGACTTTACCACGGTAATTTAATCTTTTCAAGTTAGCAGAACCTAAATAGCTCCATAAGATTCACATGGTAAGAAAACCACTGTTTGAAGTATGAAAGATCTAAAGAGTAAAGTAACTACGAAAAGCTGCACCGTATTAAAATAATGCCCTAAAATTGAAGACAGGCAAAAGAACATAGAAATGAAAATTGTAGGAAAAAGAGCTGCCACCATTACACTTAAACTATCTTCAAATCTCTAAACTATATTCATATTTGAAATATAGCTCATGTTTGAAACAAGAATTTCCATACCAGTCTATGAAAATTACAACAGTTCATTTTGTACTTACATTGGCTGGAAATTGAATGTCAATGTTTACATCTGAATTTTTGAAACCCAATAGGCTACAGGATGACCCATATAATCTCAGAGAACAATCTAAAAAAATTTAAATAAATGAAAGTCATAAATAAAGTAAAATTTCTTGAAAGTTATAATAAAACACTGCTATTTCAGAAACAGAACCATCAATTAAAACTATACACAAAAGCAAAATAGTATTCAAGTCTGGCATAGACAGAGGATACCAAGGGTGACTCTTTGCTCTTCCTTTATTTTATTTAACAGGGAAGCCTGCACTGGCTGTGATTTACTTAAGGGCTACTCTTTTCAGTTGTAAAACATGCTTTAAAAATTCCTAAATTATCATGTCATACTTTGTGCAAAAACACTACCTGCTATCATTTTGTAAATGTTAAAACGTGAAAGTAAAAAAAAAAATGCCGCCCTGGCCGGTTTGGCTCAGCGGTTAGAGCATCCGCCTGCAGTCCGGAGAGACCCGGGTTCGGTTCCCGCTAAGGGCATGTACCTCGGTTGCAGTTTGTCCCCGGCCCTGGTTGGTCGTGCGGGTGGCAGCCACTCGATGTGTCCCTTTCACATCGATGTTTCTCTCTCTCTCTCTTCCTCTCTCTCCCTCCCACTCTGTACAAAAAATGGGAAAAAAAAAAAAAAAAAAAAAATGTCCTCGGATGAGGACTAAAAAAAAAAAAAAAAAAAAAAAAATGCCTACCTTTGTTTTATATTTATAAACCTAATAGTAAACTAAAGAGTCAATGCAAATGTCTCACCTTTTAGAAAGGCCATATAGGTGTAATTTACTCAAAGATTGTTTCTGTAAACCAATAACCATAAAAATGACCTTCAGCGTAAAGTTACTTTTTTAAAAAAATGTTTTTATTGTTTTTTTAGAGAGAGGACGGGAGAGAGAGTGATAGAAACATGGATCAGCTGCCTCTTGCATGCCCCTTACTGGGGAGCAAGCCCACAATCTGGGCATATGCCCTGACCAAGAATCGAACCGGGAACTCTCAGTCAGTAGGACAACGCTCAATCTACTGAGCCATACTAGCCGGGCCATAAAGTTACTTTTTAATATAAATACTCATTACATTATAAACAAAGGTATTTCACATAATATAATCCCTTTAGGAAAATTTTGGGGAAATAATTATATAACTGATATAATTTAAAATGCTAGGCAACATTTGATTCATTTTTCAGAGAAAAATATATGTGTAGTGCCTATATTTATTTATGACATTTTTTTCCTCAATGTTTTGCCACTATCGTGCCAAAAATTTGTCCTTTCTCATCAGTGAACTTTATGCCCCCCACCCCCCACCCCCCACCCCCCACCCCAGGCCAAGTCAAGTGGTCAAGTGATTTCTTTGGGCTTTAAAAGTTTCTCATGAAAAAAGTACATCCAATCTTACAATGGAAGTCTATGGCAAAAATAATAGAAATTACAAGTGACTTTTTGGGAACTGTCTACAACATAAAGGATGAGGAACCTATATACAATGAAACAAGCAGATTCTCATCCTTTATTTTTTATAAAAGCACATATGAGTATGAATGACATACTATATGTAATAATCTTTCAGGGGAATAAATAGTTCTATGGGTAATATGGTAATAGTTTAAACACTGATTTCAACCCTAGATGTGGTTTAGAATCACTTGTGGAACTTTCTAAAAAATGGTTTTCCATGGCTCCACAGATATAACATGGAAAATGAATTCAACATTACACAAAATCTAATACAAATTAGTTCACAAAGCTCATTTCAGATATTGTAATTCTTTTAAGTGTGGTTAAACAAAACCTTTTTTTTGATACAGATACTTCTCTTTATTTTAACTCAAAATAGTATGTCAACTTAAAAAGGCAGGAAGGTAAACAAATATATACGCAAGAGTCCCATGGTGTCTTAAAAACACGGGGCATTTACTTTCAAGTACATGCACATAATGAAATTCACAGTAAGGACAGGTTTGATGACGATGCATGTAAAAGTCTTTGCTACCTTAGGGGAAGCCAGGAAAAACAAAAACACGCAAAAAATTAAGAATTTCAGGATATAGTAAATCAACTATTAGGTGAAAATTATTACTAGTAGGAAAATGATTGAAGTACTCTTAGGTAGCTAAATAGAACAACAAATCTAGAAAATACCTGGTAACTTGTGTTGGAACACATTTTCCATGATACGTTTAATATCTAGTCTCTGTTCCATGTTCTCATTGTGTAAGCCAAACTCCTGTACCACTCTGTCAATGGCAATACCAATTGCATTTATCTGGGAGGGCGTAGGCGGGGGTAAAGTAGTGAGCAACTCTTCCTCCTGTTTTTCCTTTTAAGATCAATGTTGAGATTAAAAATGACTCACATGTTTTTAACCTTCTACCATTTACTGAGACAACACACTATAGAATATTCTGGAATATTTTCCCTTAACCTTTGCCTTCACTTTAACTATGTTAGTCTTCATGTTATCAAACATATTTCTTCGTGCACATAAAATGGTGATAGAAGGAAGATAGGAATAAGAAAAAAGGTGCCAAAAAAAGAACATTAAAAATAGCAATGCCAAATTATTTTCTTTATTATTACTGGCATAACGACATATACCTAAGTCCTATCAATGACTGCATTCATCTTGATACTGTTCCCTTAAGGAAATTCACAAAACTACCCAGCAAAACATATCTGACCAGCATAAAGTATTTTGGGTAAAGTAAATTCAGTAACATAAGTAGTGAACTATTAAGGTGAAGAAAGTCACAAAGAAGACAAGCAATAACAATTGACAAATAATCATTTGTTTTGGTTACATTAAACTTACCTTAATGTTTTTCTTGTGCCTCTTCTCCTTGATATGCTTATGGGCAAATGCAATGGATTCAATTAAAACATCACAAAGTTTGCAGGTGTACTTTGCTGTAGGGTAGTTTCTTGGTCGCTATAATTTGAAGAGATTTATAGATATATATCTTCAAAACTACAGCTTGACAAAAAGCCAGAAAATGATTTCCCCTCCACTTTTATTTATTTATTTGGTTTTGGCCAAATTTTTTATTTAGTATTCTATAGTTCCTTAACACACACTTAAATGGTCTTATTGGGGGAGGGGAGAAGAGGAGGTTCTTGTAGATTCCCAAAGAAATATCAGAAAGGCAAAATATGGCCAACACTATCCATTTGTTTTGGGTTTACTGGGTGAATAGTACTTTCTTTACATAAGCATCTTATCTCAGGTTTTTCATACTGAAAACATTTGAGATTTCAGTTTGAAAACAGTATCATATCCTAAGAGTAGCATTCCCCAACCACCCTTTAATATAGCTCGCTTGTTTGTATAGGCAGAGGAATTTATCTCTCCATTTTAGATGGCTAGATGTTTGTAGATCTTAGAAGTGTTTGCCCCATTTACTGGGGGAAAAAAATAAGAAAGTGGCCTTTAGGGACACTTTTACTTGGAAAATTACAACACTAATATACAACATTTGCTTGTTAACGCATTCAACATTTGCTTATTGAAAGCAATGTCATAAGATTAAACATGTTTCACCTTTTTCCTCACAATAACATAAAAATTATGAAAGGGGGAACGTAATAGGCAATTTAAAAATGGTAACACAATTTTTTCTTTCAGTGGTCCTTTGGTGGTTATGACAGAATAGATTCCACTCTTTGTTTCTTTGAAGAAGGACTTTGGTACAAGGTTTTGTTTTTAATATCTGCTTCTGCTGTCCCCTCGATCACCGGCTTCCTCCACGGACACTACCCCTTGGTGCTCCGCAGCTTAAACTGCTGCTTCAGGAATCACATGGTCCCCTCCACTTTTAAAATTGTTAATATGTTACCATCTCTCTTTATCACTATCCTAAGTTATTTTTATTTAAGTAATTCATTAAATCAAACTGACTTTCACTTGTAGCATGTAGTGCTTCAATACTAATAAACAAAGTAGGATAGCTAATCTAATTCATCAAAGCACATATTCCCAATTACTAACATAGTTTAAACAAAATAAGGATTTTAACTAACAAATAAAAGATGTTACCCTTTTCAGCCTGTCAATACAGTCTCTTTTCAATCGCTCCTCAGCCTGCTGTAAACCCAGGAGCTCCTTTGTTGAAAGCACAGACTCATCAATCACAGGGCCTTCCAAGTCTCCGTCTAGTTCATTTTCCCCATTTCTCATCCTCCGTGGCTTCCTAGGTCTGGACTTCTGCTTCTTGTTTTCTTAAGTTAGGGGGAAAATAGTATTGGTAATTTTAAGTAACAGCACTGAATAAAAAGCAGAATTTATGTATTTATTAATAAAATCATGCAATATCTGAATGACAGCTGAACACAGAGCAAAAGGAAAGGGATAGCTCTCCCACAGATAGAATGCTTGACTACTCATTAAGCACCTCATCTAGATACATTAATCCATATAAATAATTTCTTTTGGGGGGGTGACTTAAAAGGAATTCTACTTCAACCATACAATTTGATTTTATCATCTCTTCTTGGTATACTGCTGAGCATAATCAAGCAATAGTAAAAATTATCCTTTGAAGGAAAGTATACCTGTAATTCTAATATACCTAAAATATCACAATATATAACAAACATGTATCTACTATATTATAGTATACTTGTAAGCATACCTGTTACTCTAAGGAAAACTTACACATTTGCTTTCATTTTTATAAGTGAATAATATCAACAGAGCAAAGATAGACAATAAATACATCCCCAAAGAACTCAGAGATCAACTATATTCTTTTTTTTTTTTAATCCTCACCCGAGGATATTTTTCCATTTTTTGTACAGATAGAGTGGGAGGGAGAGAGAGAAAGGGAGAGAGAGAGAGAAACATCGACGTGAAGAGACACATCGAGTGGCTGCCACCCGCACGACCAACTAGGGCCGGGGACAAATTTGCAACCGAAGTACGTGCCCTTAGCGGGAACCGAACCCGGGTCTCTCCGGACCGCAGGCCGACGCTCTAACCGCTGAGCCAAACTGGCCAGGGCTCAACTACATTCTTATCTGGAATGAAATCGATCATTTAGTTGTAAATTTAGTGTTCACATAATTGCTCCTCCCCATTAATAGCAAGAAGTTTAAGCCAAAATTTTATTTATTGAGGACAACTATTTTCCATTTTATCTTTACTTTCATTTTAACTTCTTGGATGGCATGCATACTGGGCACATTTTTAAAAATATATGTTCTTATTGATATTTTAAAGACAGAGGGAGGGAGAGAGAGATGGACACATGGATGTAAGAGAGATACGTCGATCAGCTGCCTCCTTCATGCACCCTACTGGGGATTGAGCCTGCAACCTGGGCATGTGCCCTGACCAGGAACTGAATGGTGACCTTTCAGTCCGTGGGGACAACGCTCAATCCATTGAGCTACACCAGCCGGGCCACACTGAGCACATTTCAAAGGAAAGAAACAATCAGCAGTTGAACTAAAAGTTTTCTGCAAGTACAGACTTTTATTTGTTTTTTTAGTTCTACAATCCTTATTATAAACAAATCTGTTCCTTTTTTAAAAGCTTATAACTCTTCAACCTGTAAAACTGAAGATTACTGTGGGGTTGCTTTCCAAAAAAATTATCTTAAATAACTTGAATAGCTTCTATCAAGTTCTGAAAATGAAGCTATTAGAAATACATTCAATTAAAATTAAATGTACTTCCTAAATTAAAATTGTGATAAATGGACCAAATAGTTTCTAAATGGCTTACCAATAACTACTCTGAAAATAGAAACCTACTGCAATGCCCTGCATGAGGCAATTCCTGTCAAGTTTCCAGTGGAACTTATTACTTGTACAGCAGCTACAATGAATCAGTTGATTGAAAAAAAATTGTCAGAAAAGGGAGGTACAGGACCTTTACTTTAAAAAATCCATTGCCAACAATTCTAAAGGAAAATCAGCAAACAGCTTTTATACTGCAGTAAGTGGCAATTAACAATATCATAGAAGCATTAGGACAAATACAGTTTTTAAAAAAAAGCAACTGAAATGGACCAAACAAAAAGAGTAAAGCATAAGCACTCATGGGAAGAGAAAAATCAGTCTGCGGTAATATTTGCTTTTATTTATTTATCTTCTTAATAATTTTTCTTTTTTGATTTTAGAGCGAGAGAAAGGGAGAGGGAGAGAGATAAAGACATAGATGAGAGAGAACATCGACTGGCTGTCTCCTGCACGATGGGGCCAAAAACCTGGGCATGTGCCCTGACTGGGAATTGAACCAGGACCTCTTGGTGTATGGGTCAATGCTCAACCTCTGAGCCACACCAGCCAGGCAATATTTGCTTTTAAATATACCCCTTGCTCCCAATTTAATTATCAATCTCTTGGTTTGCCTAAACTTTTGAGATAAGCACGTCTACTTTAGAAGTGTGTCTTTTTTCATTTAATTTGCTTATCATTACAAACTCTACTCTAAAAAAAATTGCATCTGATTTCAGTATTCAAGACTGAACTTTCTTACTTAGGCAAACACTCATTAGAGATTTACACCAATATGTACAATACCCATTAGGAAAGTCCATATTAGTTCACAAAACACTAACATATGAAATCAAATTCCTTTTTGAACCCCTCCATTCTCTCCTGATCACAAAGGCTTCTAAATATAACTTATTTACTGTTATATTCTAAAAAGAATGACTTCAATTTCCATCCAAAGAACACAATTAACTCCTTATTGTTTTTATCTAGAGAAGTAAGGAGCTGCAGAAAATTTGTCTGATGATGAAACAGATGCAGTGCAAGCAGTTTATGTGCACTACCTCATTTAACCCCTACAGTCATCCTGTCATGGATGCGAACATTATCCCCATTGTAGAGATGGGGAAAATGCTGGTCCAAGAATGTAAGTAACTTCTCCAGGGACAGATGACTAAATCAAAGTAAAGGGATTTGAAATAGAGATGAAAGCATAGAGGACATTCTTAAATTCAGCTTTCTAACAATATATATATACTAAAGAGAATTAATTAAAATCCCTTCTTGCAGCATACCCAATTCATATCTAGAACAGATCAGAAATGATAAGACAATGTAACCTTCTGAACTGAGTCTCACAGGCCTGCATGGTAAAAATGATCAAATAAGATCCTGATGTTGGGAATCCTGGAAGGCAAAGCTGGGTATTACTAAAAAATTCTCATAATTACTTAAAGGTAGACTACCTGGTTGATCCCAGGTTTTCTGTAATATGAATTCTCTATATACAGTATTCTAAGTTTCCCATTTTATTTGCACACGGACCATTGTTCACAAGATCATTTTAACAGCATTATCTCAAATAATGCTAAATTGGCAATCTAAGATATTTAAGAGAAGTGTGAGTGGTAATGGAGAACTAAAAAAATAGGTAGTATTAAAAACAAATCAGCTCAAGATAATTTCATTACATCTTCTCCCATCACTTAAAAAGATCTTTTCTTATTAAGACAATTTCAGTTCCTTTAATGAGATCCTTTTTAGGAATCTCTGAGTGTAGTGCAAAGTTTATACTTTAAATTAATTTCTCTCTACAGTAAGCAGTGTTATACCAGAGCTTAATATTTCCTGTATGAAGATTTTTCAAGGGATAGAGACTGAAAAGTCCTTCATTTAGCATTTGTGAAAGCACACACCTGTATAAAACACAGGGGCTTTTGGACTGCTTTCAGTAAGACAGTAAAGATGTATTTCCTATTCAAAACCACTTAAAATCAACTTCTTAAAAAAATTTTTTTAAAACTGATTTTAGAGGGAGCAAAGGAGAGAGAGAGATACATTAATATGAGAAACACTGATCGGTTGCCTCCCAGAAGGGGCTCCAACTGGGGACTGAACCCACAACCTAGGCATGTGCCCTGAATGGGCATCGAACCCGTGCCCTTCTGGTGCATGGGACAACATTCCAACCAACTGAGCCACACTGGCCAGGGCAACTTTTTTTTAAAAATACTCACCCGAGGATATTTTTCAATTTATCCTCAGGTAGAGAGACAAGGAGAGACAGGGAGAGAGAGAGAAACATCGGTGTGAGAGAGACACATCAACTGGTTGCATCCCACACGACCCTGACCAGGGCCAGGGACAAACCACAACCGAGGTATGTACCCTTGGCTGCAGCTGAAGCTGAGACATAATGGTCCGTAGGCCGATGTTCTACCGATGAGCCCAACTGGCCAGGGCCACTTCTTTTAAGACTAAACAAAAATACATATAAGAGGTTTTTGGTATGTAAACAGTCCCTTTTAATATCTTTCTGGCTGCCAACTCTTGATCTAGAAATCTTCCTTTTTATACTGCTATTCAAGATCAAATTTTCCTTTCTAAAAATCTATTGGCAACTAAATTATAATGTCCATGTCCCATGGACACAGTAATACACAAATATGTAAAAATATACAAATTTTTTTTTTAAATCCTCACCTGAGGACATTTTTCTAGATATTGTTCAGATAGAGTGGGAGGGGGAGAGAGAGAGAAACACTGACATGAAAGGACACATCGAGTGGCTGCCACCCACACGACCCAACCAGGGCTGGGGACAAACTGCAACCGAGGTACGTGCCCTTAGTGCGAACCGAACCAGGGTCCCTCTGGACCACAGGCCGATGCTCTAACCGCTAAGCCAAACCAGCCAGGGCAAAACACACAAACTTTTAAAAAGAAAAACACAAATCGAAAGCCCAGAGTGATCTGTCAGATTTCAGTAATACTGAGTTAACAGCCAGAGCAGCACAGTACATGATCTGTTTCACTTCCTCATCTACCATTCTACATAAACAAGTCTGGATAAATTTAACCTCTGAGCCACAGCTGTCTGCTTTGTAAAATTTTGATTCTACTTTTGATATTATCATGACAGAGAACTGCATGAGACAATTCCCTCAAGTTCTTTATAGCTTCAAGATTTATAAGGCTAAGGTTTTATCTCTCCCTACTCTGATTTCTAATACCTCATTTGGTTTTGGCTGTTTGATTCAAAGCATTTTCTTCTGCTTTTCCTATTTAAAAAAATATATAAAAGAATACATTTTCTCCCATTTAATACTTTCATAAGACCCTCTAGAGATAGAATAAGACTTTTTCCTTACAAAGTCTTCTAAATGTCCAGGTCACAAACATCCTACAGGATGGATGGATACACACTCACACATACACACACACAAACACCCACACACCCACACTGACCACTGTGAGATAACATGAAGAAAAAGGGCCTCTGCAGACCTAGAAAGTGCCAACATTGCCTAAATGCATTTAAATTTAAAAAACTTTAAAAGAGCTGGCCGGTTGGCCTTTAAAAAAGGCTTGCAAGTTAACAAACTTAACAGCCCATTTTTCCAAGCATAAATTTCTAAGCATATTTTGCACCTTCAGGCTAAATATTGTTTTATTTTTCCTTCAAATTTATGACTTCACTTCATTTCGGTAATTACTGTCCATTAGATAAAAACAATTTTCCTCTTTATAGATTTCACTGCTACATGGGCAAAATCTACGCACCTTTTAGAAAAATGTATAATTGCTTTGGGACAATTATTACCAAGCATGTAGGGCACTCAGAAAAGGTTTTTTTAATTTAATTTTTTTATTTTATCCTCACCTGAGGACATTTTTGCATTTATCTTCAGATAGAACTGAAGGGAGAAAGGGAGGAAGAAGAGGGAGAGAGAGACAGAGAGAGAGAGAGACATCGACTGATTGCCGCCCACACGACCCCAACCAGGGCCGGGGACAAACTGCAACCGAGGTACGTGCCCTTAGCGGAAACAGAACTCAAGTCTCTCTGGTCCGCAGGCCCATGCTCTAACCGCTGAGCCAAACCAGCCAGGGCAGAAGAGGGTTTTGGTTTTACTGAAACTAAAAGGCAAAGCTTTTATCTGTATTTCTGACTTTCTACACTTTGTCTCTCAACCTGTTTGCCATGCTCACTTTTGAGGGGACAAAAAGAAATCTTGGACTACCTTCCTATCCCTCGGTGGCAGGAAATATAGGCAGTCTATATTGTGCTTTTACATCAAATAAAATTTTGTTATTTATATTATTTATGGACACATTCATTTTTCAAATACAAAACCGTGACACGTAATTTAGAAATTATATACACACCACTCAGAAATTATAGTCTCCAGGAGGATATGATCACCTTCTTCTGTAAAAAGCACCAACAGGAAATATGTTTACTAAAGTAAAATGAGGCTTGTGGCAATGGAAACTTTTAAACAATAAACACAAGTGTTGAAGTTGCCCAAATATCACAACTGCAATCCTTAAAATAATCACATTATATAAGCAAAAACTATGAAAAATTTGAACTGAATTGCTGAAAATAATAAAACTCATTTGGATGAAAAAAAAAAGACATTGCTGACTTTGGGTTGTAACTTGACAAGCTGTAACACATTACCGTGGCTTCCTGCTTCCACTTCTGACATGGTTTCTAGGCTCGTCAGGTCTTTATGAAATAGTCGCCTTACAGTTCTACAGCCTCTTCCATCTTGCCACCTATATCCATCTTCATTTTCTTGAAAAGAGTCTTTTCTTGGTTGGTTTATAACAGGAATTCTAGGTCCAGGCTTGAAATCTCTCCTATTCTCTGAATTACCAGCAAGTTCATCTGATAGCCATCTCTTACTGTGATCTTTGTGGTTGTCATTTATCCAAGTGGGCTGACTGTAAATTGGGTTTTTAAATGCATATGGATTGCTGGAAACAGCATATGGTCTTTTTCTAGGGGTATTCCCATAGTTCCCTGGTGTTATTTTTTTCTTAGGAAGGCCTTTTTCCATTTTACTATTATGGCCTTTAGCATAATCATCCATTATTAAATAATCTTGTGGAGGGTGACTCCTTCTGAAATCCTCATCATCTATAGTCCCTCGGTCTTTAGGACGCTTCACAAAATAAGGTTTTGCTGCATCTCCCATGGTCTTTGACTTCAATTTTCTTACTTTGCACCTGAAAGAAAGCATTTTTTGGGGGAAAAATCAAACTATAACAAGATATCATACCAAGTGTACAAAACACCACACATGTATTGCATGGATGCTCAAGTCTATAAGAAACTCTTTTTTCCTAATTTCCATCACATTAGAATAATCAGTACATTCCACTAGAAGTTAGGAGGCGTAGTCCGATGATGTTCTTCATGAAGATTAATACTTATGCCCTGGCAGGTTTGGCTCAGCAGTTGGAGCATCAGCCTGCATACCAAGGGGTCACAGGTATGATTTCCAGTCAAGGGTTGCAGGTTTTATCCCTGGCCCCGGTGGGGGGTACTGTGGGAGGCAATCAATCCAAGTGTCCCTATCACATAGATGTTTCTCTCCGTCTCTCCCTCTCTCCCTTCCACTGTCTAGAAAACAATGGAAAAATATCATCCAGTGGGGATGAAAATATACATATATATATTAGTGCTATTTAACATGAAGATTAAATCTGTGACTAAGGGAAGCTCCCTAGTTTCCAGAACTGTAGTAGAAAAATATGTTACTCATACCAAATTTTACCTATATAACAAAAGCGCTACTCTGGGGTAAAAAAACCAACCTTCATGCCAAGCCCATTCTGTTAGAAACTCCCGACACGGTCTTTCAAAAAAGTTGGCAATTACTTTTAAGTGTTACACAAAGCAACCGAATCTTTCTCCGAACGTAGTACATCTCAAAACTCCACTGTTTCCGTCCCTTGTCCGCAGCCCGGCCTCGGCTCTCCTCAGCACCACTATTCAGAACGCCAGGCTGCGACCCCTTGGGCTACGGAGGGGCTGGGCTCCCGACCAAGGCTCCGCTCTGGTCAAAGGGGCTGGGTTTCCGACCAAGAAACAACTCCTGCAACCCTCCCCAGACTTCGTTCTCCAACCCCAAACAACTCTGGTTTTGTCACAGATCGCAGTTTTCCTCTTCAATCTCCATCTGATAGCCCCACCCCCGATCTGCCTCAGTTTCCACCCTTTGGGACCAGAGGCGGAGAAAGAGGAAGCGTCCAGGTACTCCTGGCCACTGAGCCACCGCGGGTACCAGGAAGCAGGAAGTGACCTACCTCCTTGATGGGTTCCGAGGTCCCCCCGGCTGGCCAGGGGGCCGAGGCCGGGCGCCTCCACCCAAATCCCTTCTTCTTCGGCCCTCGCAGGGTCTGACCCAAAGTGAAGACGTAGGCACGAACCCGACAGCTCAGTCTCTGTTGGCCTGGGGGATCCCAGGTCTCGCTAATGGGACAAGGAGGCCGGCGGAGAATGAAGCCAACGTAACTCCTGGGCGGGGCGGGGCCCGCCCTACAGTCTGGAGACCAGGGAACCTATCGGAGACCCACCCGGGAGGCGAGTCTGGGAGAGACGCGGGGAGAAGACGCTCGAAACACTCACCACCTCCGCAGCGGTCCTCCGCCTCTTTCGGTCCCGGCTGGGCTCCCTCTCCGTGTTTTCCTTCGGCCCCACTTCCGGCGCTCAGCGCTGTCTCATTGTGCGCGATTGGGAGACGGGGGTGGGGTGCCCCCGCCGGAGAGCTCCGACGCTCACGCCGGAAACGCGCTGTCCCGAAGAGCCGACCGCCGCCCCGCCCCGCCCCGCCCCCTCGGCGTCCCCCTACCCACTTCCGCCGCCGCCGCCGCCGCTGTCGACTCTACGCAGGTCGGGCTTCCCAGCTGGCCGAGAGCGCTCGCTCCCGTCTCTTCTCGCTGCGGGCTGGCCTCGCCTCGGCTCCCTCTTTCCTAGGCTGTGAAAGCACCGGGGAGGCGCCGGGCGGGAGCCTCTGGCCGTGCGAGGCCGCGCGGGGTAGGCTCGGGAGTTCGCCTGCCCCTCCTGCTCCGGGTTGCGGCGTCGGGCCTCGGGGCGCTCTTGCCCCTTTCCTGGTATTTCCGAGGGATTAGGGCTTAGTCGCCTGTGTTGTAGAAATGCCGGCGTTTCAGCTGTTCACCCAGCTCTCAGTATGGTCGAGGCAAATGCTTTTTTCCCTCAGAGCGTGTACACACTAGTTTCACTGAAAAACAAAATGGTGTTTTGAGCACGGTGGGTAATCTGAAAGGATGGCCCGGAGGCGGCGTACCGCACTTTCGAACGAAGATTGGACACCTGGAACTACCCAACACCGGAGCGTTGAGGAAATGTGACGTTTTTATTTCTCTCTTTGAAAACATTTAAACTTAAATCCACGAGATTCCGAGAGGGCTTGGTCTTAAAATAGTTATGAACACATACGTACTGGCTATTGCCAGGCACTGGTGGGGGGGCGGGGCTTTACAACTACTATTAAGTCATTTAATGCTCAAAACAGCTACACTAGGAAATATTGTCTCCCTTTTAAAAGTGGGGAAATAGCATTTATGGTGAAGTGAATGGCACTGCTGGAATCCAAACCCTAATGAGGCGAAGTCTGTTCTAACAATGTCGGTACTAAAGATGTTTTAAAACATGTTGGTGCAACTTCTGTATACAGTCGCGGCCCTCGCCACTTCGCGCTTGGACTTTTCGCGGCTTCCACAAAAACCGCCCTAGAGTGAAGCCCCGAAAGTCCAAGCGGGAAGTGGCATAAATAAAGAAACCTACTTCGCAAAATCATTTATTGCGGTAGAGTCTGGAACTGATTAACAACGATAAATGAGGGCCGCCTGTAATGCCATATCTAGATACTTTGGTTCTGAAAATACATGGGAATCAACCCAATAATCTGACAGGCCGACTGGCCTTTAGTAGAGTCCAAGGGAGTGTGGTGATACATGATGACGTTTATGGGACACAGTAGCGTTGCCACACCCACTGGTGTAATTCTTGTACATAAGAACTGGTTTAGGAGTTCTAGAGGAGATGTATCTTTTTAAGGGTTTAAAATAATTTTTACTTGCATTTTCTTCAACATGTTTCTGAAAACCTAACTTTTATTCTAAACTTGCTTTTAAGATTGTTGAAAAGGAGTAACAGACCCAAAATGCAGTCACTTGTGGTAAGCCCCACCAAGACTTAATGCCTAACCTAATTACAGTTTCAGCCTCTCCCAGAAGTGGAATTTTAATCCAATCAATTTGGAGTTTTCTGATCAGCACTACTGAGGTAATCTGCCCAGTAAGACTCCCTCCTGCCTTTCCCTCAGGGAAGGTGACCTTGGCTGAAATAACCCATTCTTTCACCTTGTCCCACTCTGCCTAACATCACCTTCCATTTTGTACAATTCCTTGCAGTGCCCTTTTAGTTGCTAGATGGGATGCTGCCTGACTAATGAATCAATTAATAAAACCAATTAGGTCTTCAGATTTACTCAGTTGAATTTTGTTCCTTTTTTTTTTATCCTCACTCAAGGACTTTTTTTTTTCTTTTCCATTTTATCTTCAGATAGAGCGGGAAGGAGAGAGGGAAGAAGAGAGAGAAACATCGATGTGAGAGAGACACATTGACTGGTTGTCACCTGCATGACCCCAACCGGGGTACGTGCCCTTAGCAGGAACTGAACCCCGGCCTCTCTGGTTTGAGGGCAGTTGCTCTAACCGCTGAGCAAAACTGGCCAGGACTTTTTTGTTTTTATTGATTTTTTTACAGAGAGAGGAAGGGAGAGAGAGGTAGAAACATCAATGTGAGAGAGAAACATCGATCCACTGCCTCCTGCACCCCCCCCCCCCACCAGGGATTGAGCCCAAAACCCTGGCATGTGCCCTGACCAGGAATTGAACTGAGACTTCTCAGTCCATAGGACTGATGCTCAATCCACTGAGCCACCTCGGAGGAGCAGATTTTGTTCTTTAACAAGATTCATCTTGAAAAATGAGGCTCTCTAAAACTAGATGCAATACTAATCAAAAGATACTGACACTTCATATACCTCTTTCTGTCCATATTATACTACAATCACAATTTAAATTGGTCATGGGGACCCTTAAAATTCAGTTGAAAAGTTTGGTTTGATTTTCTTTTTGGATGTTACTTGAATCTTCGTGGTGATTGCTTTTCTGTTGAGACATATTTCCAACAATGGAGCAGATTTTGGGGGCTTGTTTGGTTTAGAGGACTAATACTGCTCCATATGTTACAATGTGTCTTCCATCTTGAACCAGAAGCTTAACATTGTGGTACCTCTTGACAAGTTAACCTTTAAAAAAACACTGTATCAGTGCTGTTTTTCCTGTAGGGCCATAGAGTCAAGTTCAGGAGTTGGGTTTACAGCTTTGTCAGCCAGTTTTTTCCCCTTAATCCTTTTTTTATCCACTTTATTAGTGAATTATATTGGCTCCCCCTTTAACTATGTACAGAGTCCAGTGAGTCCTTACCACTTCCACTGCTCCAAACCTGATGTTAGTTATGGCTTCACTGCATTGTTGCAATCATCAGTTTTCATCTTTGTCCTCATCTGTTCTCAACACAATAGCCAGAAAACTCATGTTAAAATCTGAGCTAGATTACTATTTCCCCCCTAAAAACTCCTCAATGGCTCCTCATTTCTCTGGGAGTAAAAACCGAAGTCCTTACAATGGCTATAAAGTCCCTCCTTTTATTTCTGATCTCACTACTTATTTCTCTGATTCACTCCACCCAAGCTACACTAGCCTTCTTGCAATTCCTTCACAACAGGGAAGCTCTGGCATCAAGTCTTTGCACTGGCTATTCCCTCTGCCTAGAATGCTTTCCATCTCTTTGATGTCTGTATTGGTCACACCTTCATCTTCAAACCTTTGCTTACATTCTCAATGAGGGCAACTCATCACTCATTTAAATTGCTATTTACTGCTCTCTCCTCTGTCTTCCCAACCCCCTTAATCTGGTCTGTTTTCCCCCCTTGCAGCACTATGTACACTTGGTCACCTGCTCATGTCACTTAACTATTTGTCATAGTTATTTCTTGTCTGTATTGCTCCACAAGAATGTAAGTTCAACAAGGGCAGAGATTTGCCTATTTTGTCTATCAGTGTGTCTTATAGGACCTAGAACATTACCTGGCTCATGGTAGACTTTATAGAAATA